CAGCCCGAAAGGCGCGACAGAGGGGTTGATTGAGATGCCAGTGAATTTAACGGTGCCTAGTTTCCTGAGCTTTGCATAGTGGTTCAGGCAGTAAGCGATTTGTTATCCTTGACTGATACGATTATCCACGTCGTTGGGGATAAATGGTGCCAATCTCATAGTGCCAGTATCTGGGTGAAAATTTCGTCCTTTGCTACCACGGCTGTTGAGCTACACAAAATACATCGTTCAAGCCGACTGCACAGATCACTCAGTCAACCTACGGGCCTCCTACACGTTCGCTCCATATGAACTGCAACGTCACCTGCCACCTGGCTGCCCGCATTGTACCGTCCCTTCTCGCTCACAACAACACTGGCCGCGGGCGAGCCTTCGGAACGGAGCGAGCGGTGCCGCTGGCCCGACCGAGGGAGCGGCCCGGTACTGGGCGGCTCAGGAGCGGCTCCAAGGTCCCGGGCAGTCTGGGAAGTGACACCGGCTCGTTATGCAGCCGGCCGAGCCGCCACCTAGTCGTGCAGAGGCGGCCGATTAGTGCCGGAGCGGGCCGGGCGAAATGGGACTGGCTGGCAAGGTGGGGCTAGATCGGCGCGAGCTAGGAACTTCGGGTAACAAACGGTCAATGGATTGGTTCGTGGAATGGCTGGACTGAGTCACCCTAGATTCTGCAGGTATGAAAAATGAGGAATTGAGACGGCCAGCCCTGGGGCTGACAAAGGCTTGGGGTGGCCCATTGTGAACAGCTGTGATGCCACGTGGCACCACACAGGGACAGTCAGACCTCTGCGTGGCCCGCATTACTGCAGGAGGGCTTCGCCGGCTCCCGCGAGGCACACCCCTCCCCTCCCTCCCCGTCCCTCCCACCGCGACACGCGCGACGCGACGACAGCTGGAGGGCCCCACGGCGGGTTTGCTGCCGCCCCCCCCCCCCCACAGCACGTGCTGCGCCCGGCTCTGTTCCGCCCCAGCCGGTACCAAGGCCGCCGGCGCCGCCCGCAGCCGCTGCGGCCTGCCGCAGAGACCTGCCGTGAGACCCACTGTGGGCGACTGCAGGGCGGAGACCTCCTGTGGTCTCCACCCCTCCTCTGGCCTCCCACGTGGTCTCTTCTCTGCCTGTTGGGTGATTCAGTCACCGCAGGGCGGCACCCGACGTCTCTCGGGTCGGGTCGGGTCAGGTCATAGTGCGTTACTTTCACTGCCGGTCGACGATGCCGTCATCGGCGGACAGGTGGATGAGTGCCGTCATCGCCACCACAGCCACCACCACCGCCAAGACTCGGGCGCCAGATGGTGTGCGGCGGTGTGTAACGCGCCCAGCGCGCTTGCCTGAGGTTAGGTAACGCGTCCCTTTCCGCCTGGCCGAGCCTGCCGGCGAGCGGTGGTGGCGTTGCGGGGAGGCGTTACCTCAGAAGGCTCTGAGGATATGTGGGCTGGACTTCAGGTGAATAGTGCGCCTGTCCAGCATTGCTCACGACTTGTTATGGCGGAACATTCGCTTGGTCCACAGTCTGTATTTTGTCCTTATTGTGCGTGTTGCCAACAGGAAAACAAAATTTAGCTTAGAAAGTTGGCAAGAGCTCTTAGAGATGGCCGGAATGGCTTGCTCCTGCGCACATAACTCAGTAACATGTTTTCTAGCACGACTTATAAATCTGCAGTACGGGCTATGCAATCATGAGCCGTCAGAAATGGGCTAAATTAACAATTACCTTTGACCTTTGCAATGCCACTTGAAAGCAGACAAACGTAAATGAAAAGGCCATATAATGTTACCTGGAAGTGCATAATCCTGAATTATCTTTACAATATCTAGATCAATGCCTCATATGTCTGGCTTCTGAAGCATTCTGCTGACTTTGACGCGAGCCGATTTCCACTGCTCCCGGCTCGAGACTGAAAGACTCCATTGAAGTCTTCAAAGTTCTCTCTGGCTTCAATTACTTTCTTCTTTGTCTCCTTCAGAAGTACTGGTCTCGTTTGCCCTTCTTGGACTCTGAACCGTCTCTCCATGTTTCCATCGAGCTCTTTCGATTGATTTTCAGCCCGAGAACGCCACCGATCTCCACAGCCTTTGTCACGGTCAGCCGCTGCTTGGGGGGGGGGGGGGGGCACGCACCGGCGCTCGCCAATTACTCCGACACTGAGCGGATTGTGCAAGGCACTCATGCACGCATTCACAACAGGGCACTCGAGCGGGGAGAATGCGGCCTCCGAGTGGGAATTCGGAGGTCTTGCCCACCAGCAGGGCGTCCGAGTCTGTGCTATATGGCCAAGAACCGCGAAACAAGGCGCCGTTTAGGCGTTGCGTCAGTTTGTGAGAGACATCCGAGATGCATTTACTTTCGTTGGAACCGGGTCGATTAAATTTATGCTAGCCGTGTATTCCCATGTGCTATCTCAGCGTATATTGAAATTAAATGAACTCTGCAGTGTCTTACGATAGCCCCTCGAGTCCTTGCGCTGAGATAGTCTTCCCGGGAACTCATGTCATGCGGTACAGTCTGCCTCACAGGCAGGCGTGTCGTGCGGTGCAGTTTATCCCCGGGACGCCGTGTCTTGCAGTACAGTCTACCTCACAGGTGCCGTGTCTTGCGGTTCAGTCTAGCTAACAGGTGCCGTGTCTTGCGGCTCAGTCTACCTCACAGGCGCCGTGCCTTGCGGTACAGTCTACCTCACAGGAGCCGTGTCTTGCGGTATAGTCTATCTCCCGGAAAGTGTCGTTATCCTGCGATGCAATCGATGTAGTTGAGAGATTATCTGGTGACTCGTAGGCCACAGGAGCCGTGCTAAGCATATTGTAATATGGCTTTAGGGAAAGAAGACACATACCTGTTCTTCGTCTATAAAGTTGCACGTTGTGTTCCATATTTCCCCTAAAACATATGTGTAGTGATCATATTGCAAGTTCTCAGGTGCATTGCTTGGCATGAGCACTCTCGACAAGTCCAGCTTAAATGATGTAGCAAACAGGGTTTTAATTATATGCATTTTCTTCTTATTCACAATTAAGTGCCATCAATAAAGAAAAGACAATCAAGCAATCAAGCGCATTAAAAAGTAAGCCAATATAGAAAAGCCATCCACATTCTCTCGATACATTTACCTCTCAAGCAGAGGCTGCTATCCTCGCCGTGGCGCCTCCCAAAGACCCGGAGCCTGCTGTGAGCCCTGCTGACCTTGTGAGGTGCCGGCTGCCGGTGACCGGTGCAGGGACAGGGGCTCCGTCTCAGGCCAGTTCCATGGGCCGAGCCGTGCCCCCCCCCCCCCTCTACTGCAGACTGTATCCGCTCGGACCGACCTTGGTACCGCCTCTGTTGTATTTGGCTGGCCTCCTGCAGGTATTAGCATATGTATGTTCCTGGTTATGTGAGTGGCCGATCGGACCCAGGCCGTGAACTCGGTTCAGTCTGCTGAGAGAAGCGTGTTATACCCAGTCAGCAACTTTTGATACACGGCCATATACATCGACAGTGATTAGAGCTGTTCTGATTGAATTCCGGATTTTGTCATTCTAAGGTAGGCGGATCGAAGAGCTGTATCCGTTTACACTCTAACACACCGACTAACTCAACTTTTTCATCCAGTGGTAACCGAACCTACATTTTTATACATAACTTGGTGAAGGCTTACTAGTTAGTAAGCCAATATGCCCGGCGTCTTCGAGAGCGTCACAGTACGAGGCTTGAGGTTTCGTCAGCCCGAGTCAGTTGCTGCGTGGGACTTTCCCTCGTGGAACCGCTATACATCGTCTCCTCCAGGAGATGCTATATTTGCTCTGCGAATGTCCCCGGCCGGAAATAGTTAGCAGCGCCCTGTAGTGCTCCCGGATCTGATCAGACCCAGCTCAGTCAGCAGCTGGTTTGAGTAAGCCCGGCTCGGGATCCACACCACTGTGATTACGGTTGGTATCTGTCGCTGAGGCCCCAGAGGTGCCACCGCACGCACCGCGCAGCTTCTCTGCTCGGTGCGAGGAGGCGAGGATTATTGATTAGATGTGGGAGCACATTGCAGGGCACGGGGCATCCTCGTGTTGCCAAAGACTGTGACGCACGCGGTGGAAACTGCGAAGATGCTGGAAATGATGATGCTACTCTACACAGTCTTTGCAACACGGGGCATCCTCGTGTTGCAAATACTGTGACGGTGAGAACTGGGAAGATGCTGAAAATGATGGTGCTACTCTACACAGTCTTTGCAACACGGGGCATCCTCGTGTTGCAAAGACTGCGACGGTGATCTTCCCAGTCCAGCATCTTCCCAGTTCCCATGCATGGGAACTGGGAAGATGCTGGAAATGATGGTGCTACTCTTCCCCCGGAGTTGTGTGTGAATGAGCCACGTGATGTAACGCACCGTGCCGTATCATTCTCCAGTCCCAGTGGAGCACATTTGATGACGCAATAAGCGCGGCGCCGAATGTCACTTTTTCGCCGCCTTCGTGCGGATCTCAATGTCAGGCGTACCACGCTGTGCCATTCGTGCGCCGTCCGGGCACACGGTGGCACCGCGTGCCAGGAGGCTCCTTCGTACCACTCGTTAGAACGCGTCATCTCAGTGATCTATGGCCTCCAAAAACTTACCACGTCGCAGGACTATGCGTAAAATTGCATAATTCATGCTGATGATATGTACATTTTGCAGCTTCATATTTTAAATGTACCTGCCATTATCTTTATTGTTGCCAGTTCGCATGCGCCTCATCCTTTGTTATTCAAAATATACCGCAGTTTGAACTGTGTTGACCCTAGTAGGTATGACCTATGTTTTAATGTTATGCACATTGCCTTTTACCGTTATTGTAGCAGATAACATTATTTTTCGCTTATATTTTTTTATGCTTGCATGCATTGCATAGCTATGAAGGAAGTGAAAGTACATAATTATAAGCTGAAGTGGTAATTTAACGAAGAAATGCTGCGCCACCTCAATGAACGCTTTCAGTTCCGTTTCGAGACGTTCACCCCCACATATCTGACAGTTCCACCTCTCCTCCCGTTCTGCAGGCGACTCGCTGGTGACCGTGTTCTTCAGGAAACAGCAGGGTGAGGACCTGGCCGACCTGGTAGACAGGGGCTTCGACATCTGGATGCAGCTGACGCCCGGCAGACGCGTCACATTCTCAGTCGAGAAGCTGAACAGGTGGGTGTTAGTGGATAGAGACGGAGTCGTGGTCTGCGCTGTTTGGGTTTGGGGTTTACAGGGGTTGGGATGCACAAGGTGTAAGCGATGAAATAGATATTGGTAGGCATGTTGAGTCAAATTGTAAATCGTCTTATTTATGTCTTAGTTTCATGCTTATCCAAGTAATTTAGCGTGTAATGTTGTCCATAGATATCCAATGCAGATTACAAGTAAAATAAATATGTAGTGTAGGTATCTAAAAGCATTTTGATTCATGCCAAGATAATAATCCCCTATATTTCTCCATTACCGTCCGTCCGTATTTACGCATAACCCCACCACTCCCCGCCCCGCCAAGAAGCCCTTCGCTCGGGCCGCAGCTGTGTCTGAGTCACGACCAAAGGTCACACCACTCACGTGTGTGCTCGGGCCCGCCGGCTGTGACCTCCCCCCCTCCCCCTTCCCGCAGGACCTCGGTGCTGTTCGTGTCCATGTCGTTCATCCTGCTGCTGGTCATATCGCTAGCCTGGCTACTCTTCTATTATGTGCAGCGATTCCGATACATGCACGCCAAGGATCGACTCGCGGTAAGTTGAAGTGTGCTCGATGTGCTGTTTAGGGTTTGTTGTGTGTGCGTTTGGGTTAAAAATCGGGTGCAGGCTTGGTATGGGTGGCGAAACAGTTTGTGGCTAGTACACCTGGCTGCATTGACGATTTTTTTAACATGACCTACGCTGTATTCAAGGAACGTCTTGATTTTCACCACAAGCAGCTTCTCTCATAATTGGTCATTTATTCCGGCAATGTTTTATGTAAACGCTTCAATTATTCCGCATAAGCACAGCAGCCTTCATATGCACTGTGCAATCAGTATCAATAAAGCAAACCTAATGACATGGTTCAGCCAGGGCAATATTCCTCAAAAGATGGCTACATCACGTGCTCGCCTGCTCCTCTATTGATTCGATGCCCTCCTACGCCGGTCACACATTGATTCTGGCTCCTCCAGCGCGGTTGGCTCATCGGCGGTGCGCACTAAGACGTGCCGTTTTTCCACGCGGCTCCCAGTCTGGGTACTGCTCCTACAGTATTGATCCGTGTCCTTACCCTCTCGGGTGACCTTTTCCAGCCGCTACCGGTTTTCTGAGCTTGGCTTACTTGTTATGTCAAGCTTTTACATCGTCACTCATCGGATAATAACACATTTGGTCGATATGTTCTTTGGCAAATATGAAATGGGTCAGTTAATTCTCATTCCCATTCAGTTGCAATATCTTGATCCTTACGTGACTCGATCCTGACCCGACCCTGACCTACCTCTGACCCGACCGTGACCCTCCTCTCTGCCAGCGTCACCTGGTGTCGGCCGCGAGGAAGGCGCTCTCTCGCGTGCCGCTGAGGACCCTGAAGGTGGACGATGAGCAGCTGGGGGACGCCGAGTGTTGTGCCGTCTGCCTGGAGTCCTACCGCGCCGCCGAGTGTGTCAGGATGCTGCCCTGCAGGTCAGTTCCCCGCACGAACGGACGCGAAGAGGGGCGGCGGATACCTGCTGCTTGGAGGAAACAAACGGATACGTCTCAGACGCGAGACTGTGCGATAAATTAGCCAAGAAACGTCTGGTCTGAGGAGGCATTGATTTCAGTTGACTTCAACCGCTGTTTCTCGCTAAGTGCAGTCGTCTGCAGGCCTGAGTAGTAATCAAACACAAAAGCAATTCCAAATTTTTTGCATACTGCACACTTCATTTCCAAATGTGCACATTAGTGTACCACTGTCTCGAACTTTTAGTTGGCTGAATGTGTCTGTGCAAGTTCAGAATCGAATTTGTCCCTGAAATCTTGCTGCAAAACAGTTCTGGTATACAGTCTTCACACCAACATATCGGGCATATCGGGAAGCTGGAGCGATAGCTGGCTAGTTTTTGCCGACGACTGGTTGCACGTAACACCGTTACTTTATTGAATTAGCTCGTATAGAACACTCTGAGCAATGGGCAGCAACTTGAATGATTTCTAGAAAAAGCCTTGCAAGATGTGTTAGCGCATTTGTCAGCTGAAGTGATAACACTTTTCCATACTTTACACTCATGGTTCACCGTTACGTCGAACCGCATTGGAAGCCGTTGTTCTTTGTTGCAGTTCCGGGATGAACATCCGCTTTGTACGGTAGTTCCCAGACCGACGTGGTGGATCCCAGAGCTAATGAGATGATCGGCAGCCATGCAGCTCAATGCCGAATAATCTTGATCTCTAATTCCTAGTCATCCGTTTTATCAGTGACGTTTCATTATCGGTCATATCGACTGTCATAATCATGACTCATAAGTTTGATGATACAATTGAACATAACTACATTGCCAAAATTAAAGGTATTACAACACATTTGCCTTACGCTTCAAATAATTTTGCTTTCCTTGCACTTTGTATTTCCCATTATATCTTCACTTGGCATCGCAACAAACTGGTTTTCCTTGTATCCCAAAAGTACTGTTATGCTTGGCTAAGCACCGGTCTTGCTTGGGTTTAGACTGACAATCTAATCGTCATATTTACATTACATTTGGGCCGATGCTTGCCACAATCCAAAAGTTTGCAAGTCATACCCATGCACCATCCACAAACTAGTCGTCCGATGCCGAGGGGCGTTCCCTTCGTGAGATGTCTCGCACGCACACCGTTTGTCGTGTCCAGCCCGTTGCACTCGTGGTGGCCTTGTGATTGGCACAAAAACACCCGAGGTCAGCTGGACTCGATCTCACAGCGTTCGACAACCTCGCGGATGGAGCAGCGTGAACTAGAGTCGGCAGAAGGACGCGCGAGTATTTTGTGGCTGGTTTATGAGATGGGGAAGCAAAAGAATCAATGTAATGACAGACACAGGCCCCGTTGAAATAATGGCTAAAACAGCGTGATGACGTTAACCCTCGCCCATGTAGGGGGGGGGGGTTGGTGCAACCCCCCCCCCTGAGGATTTTCGGAAATAGTGCAAAAACGGCGGCGCGCAGCGCCGCCAAATTTTGGGTACCTTATGGGGCAAACCTTGCGCATCTTTTGATAAAAAAAATTTGACCGGGTCATGTCAGGTCACGGAGTTATGACGTCACAAAGGGAACAGCCTCCGGCCGGATTTTCACAAACTGAGTGCCAACGCCCGAGGTTTCCTGCCGGTGGTACGGTCATCGGTTGATGGATCGTGATGAAACTTCCCATGCATGTTGGGGCAAGTATTGGCTATCATATGGTATAAGAAACTTGACCGGGTCAGGTCAGGTCACGGAGCTATGACGTCACAAGAGGAACAGCGTCCGGTACTATTTTTGAAAAGCGCCCGAACCACTATTTTGCTAATTCTTGTCACCTCAATGGGAATATGCTGCAATATTAGCTTCTATAGGGAGCAAATGGACCTCCGAAATCCAAAAATACAATCAGATTTCAAAAATTTAAATTTTGATTTTTCGAATTTCTGCCGCCGACTGTGACCTTGCCGATTTCCGGCGCTCCCAACGCGCCATTTTTAGAGCTAGGGAAACGAAATACATACCAAACGATAGAGAATTGATCAAGGAACACGATAGTGAAGGTTTCAAGTCGATATCTCCCACCGTTTTGCCGCAAACGCCGCGGAAAAATGAAAAAAGTCTATTTTTCCGAAAATTTGACCTTTGACCGGTCAAAAGTAGGTCAAATATTGACCTAGGACCAAAAAATATACCACCAATCGCGAGATCTCGGCGATAGCAATCCGTTGGTCTTTTCCGCTCAGCTCTACAACGCTCCGTTTTCAAACGCCAAGGGGGGGGGTCGCACCAACCCCCCCCCCCCCCTGCATGGGCGAAGGTGGCAGATCGCCGTTTACGGGCGAGGGTTAACCGATATTGCTTTCGACTGTTGGTCATTATATAGGTTGATGCGATGACCATTCGTTTGACGGTGGGCTTACCATCGATGAAAATAGATCAGTGGGCTTAGCTGGCGGGACACTCAGCAGGAAAAGAGCTCACAGTTCAAGCTACAGTTGGCTTGGCGGCGAAGCGTATAATGCTGATCCACCGGCCCAGAACCAGGAGAGCTGGACCGTGTTCTGCCGTCGATCACCAGCGGCTCACAGCGCACTGCGGGGACCGATCGGGGACCGGCCAGTCGCCGAGCTGGAGCTGACTGTTTTCTGATAACACTATGGTAGCTAAGTCATTTTATTGAGCGTACGTAATTGTCATTTATGACATAATTTTCATTGTCATTGTCCATTTGATACAACAAAAAAGTGTAATTTTGTCTAAACCCGATAGCGCACACCCACTGCACACTGATACGGCTTATAAGTAATAGAATAAAAGGTGACCCAGCCTAGCGGTAACTGGTGGACTTCATTATCTACTTCCAACTTTGTTCTTTAGAAGATGACGATGTTAGGAATTAAGTGCGTCGTAACGGTAAAGTTATATGGCGTTTATGCTCAGTAAAATGGATGCGTTCTATTCTTTTAAAACGGTGTTTATGTTGTTAAAATGTTTTGATATGTAGTTTATAATGCCCTATAGTTGATATTCAGTGGATAAATTTAAGTATACCTTTATTGGGTATAGTAGTATATAAGGAAATTGCAGCAATACCTTATGATGAATGATTAACATGCTACATCAATGCAGAGCCTAACTATGGCCAAACCAAATAATTGGGCCATATGACTAGCCCTATCTTATGGGCCGAATAACACGCCTTTCCATTCAGTTATATAAAGCCGCCTCATAATTTCATGGTCGATCCATTTGTTTGTTCTGGAGCGGGCAGCGGATGCTCGGGATAGTTTGGCACCGATGTCCGCGAAGTACGCCGTACAGCAGTTGCTGGGTCTCATTCACGCTGTTTGTGCTAGTGTAGCACGTGTGACCGGCTGGATCCAAACAAACCACAGCGGACTGCCCCCTCCCTGCTCCCCCTCCCCCGTGGGTCCCCTGCCGGCCGACCCCGCTGGCTCACCGCCCAGGGAATAACATCAATATCCCTCCCATGGCCGCCCCCGGTCAGCCGCCACTGCTGAGAGGGTACTACAGCCGGCGCAAATCTCATAATGGGATGGATTTATAACGGGCAGTGTTTTACTGCAAACAGCCTGCCTACTTGCTATTCCATTTACCTACCTATATTACATTGAACAAATATGCTCCCTGCCGCCCTACAAATTCGGTAGGTATGTCGCAATTTTATTGCATATTATATTTATGTCGAAACGGACGTAGCGGCTGATTTACATGTGTTGTCTTTTTTGGGTTTTCAAAAGTCGTAAAGGAAGCAGTGCAGCATCCGTTTTACATATGATATATCCTCCAACAGTTTGACTGTCCTGTTGCATATTTTAACTGGCCTGGCACCTGTCGAGTGACGGTATCGCTGCGTCTGCTCCGCCCACTCCTGAGCTGTCATCCTGCGCAGTGGTGGTGGTCTGTCAGTCTCACAACTCACCCCTCCCCATTCGCACCTGACAGTCCCCTCCCCCTCCTCCCGGCACAGACTCCTGCTGCGCAGATGGGCTCTGCCGGCCCCCGAGCCAGTGCCGGCCACTACCATACGATCACAATGCTGCAGTGTTGCGTTTCACTGTTGTTGATCCGCCCCTAGAGGTGTACGTGATTGCGCCGCCTCTGGGAAGGGCTGTGGTGTCGGGTGGTGGGCGCATGTGGTCTGAATGTCACAACCTCGGTGTCATTTGACAGAGCGCGCTGGCCAGTGCGACTGACGTTATTATGAAGGACAGATGGTCGCAAACTGCAACGTTATAAAGGACGATGCTCTGCCTGTATAAGTTATTGTTTGTTGACATTTCGACTAGTCGGTGATGAGCTATGCACTCGGAGTTTATACCTTGCTTCCGTTGAATCATAATGTTTCGTGAACTTTGCCCGCCATTTATTGCAGACTTTGCTTATATGCAATGACCATTGCGTGGTGCAGAGAAAACAAAGGCTGATCAGAAAAAAAATAACTGCATTTGTGAACGGATTTGTTTGCGTTTTTGCGGTATCCACTGGACCAATACCGTATACCCGCCCCGTTATTAGTGCTTGCCTTCCGAGCCTTCTGTGTTTTACGTCTTCTTCCGTCTTTCTTTGTCTTGCCCCTGGCTGGCTCTCTCTCAGTGAGGCAGAACTTTTAGTTTTGCCGCTTCCCGTGATGTCCACTCAATTATCCATAGTCAGCGTCACGCCATTAAGAGACTGAACGAACGTCTGCTTCTCTGGACAGTGTGCAGTGATTCGATGAAGCGGGGTTTTATTAGAACTAGCGGAGCACTGAGGCCCTTTTGATGTGACTCTGCCGGCATTGTCTGGGAGTGTGTGGAATCCCGGTCACGTGTCTGAGGCGGCTGTCTGGTGGATCAGGATAGAACTTCTGTGAAGGTTGGTGGCCGGGTACATCCGAACATCCGCTGGGAAAATAATAGACACGTGACTGGTGGATAATGGTTTCTATGATTTGAGATGAAGAGTAAAGCCTAGCGGGATGTAGTTAACAAGATGCCCTTCTGATCTTTGTTCTATATCATTTTGTAAGGATGTTTTTGCTGTAACAAAAATGTCACGATAAAATATATTCTAGCATTTAAAGAAATTGGCAGGTTCTTAGTTCCATTTGTATTTTAAAAAGCACCAATCACTTCAACGCTCTCATATAGGTAATACCCGTCACACGCGCCTCACCGTGTTTGAAAATAAAAATTATTGAGAAAAAAACGTAAAATTTATATTACAAATGACCTACAACGACACCTTCGCATATCAAACATGTAGCCTTGCTTATACTATCTCTGGCATCAGGCATGTTTTCCACATTTTGAACCTATAGCAATAACAGCATCATCATCTACCATCCTGAAGCCTGCGACTCGATCAGCTCGCTGACCTCACATTTCGTCTTCCTTCCTTCCCCCCCCCCCCCACACACGTTCCTCACACTCCCTATACAGTCGATCAGAGCTCATCCCTCACAATTTTGTGTTTGAACACATTCTCGTTCAGTCCGAGCGAGTCCCAGAACTGGATCGCCTTAGAGCGTAGCTCGTGCACCGTGGTCCACTCCCGGTCTATCACCAAGTAGTGCTCGTCCAGTGGCAGGTAGTGCTCCCAAATCTCCCTCCACAGGGCAATACCCTCGCCGGCCAGGTCGGGCGTCGGGTCACCCGCCTTGGCGAAAGTCACCCACATGTTGAGGATCTGACGGAGCTCGGTTACCAGCGGATCGTCGCGGTCGAAGAGTGGTGTGAAGTCGTTGGAGAACATGAGGAGGAGCTCGTCCTTTTGCGACACACCCAGCTCGTGCGCTGATCCGCCTCGCCGCGCGAACCGCGGGTTGCCCGGGTGCCAGTGGTCTGGGTCGTCTCCCGGCTGCTGCGTTTTCTGCTGCTGGAGGTCGCGGAAGCGGACGCGGCCCTGTAGGTTCCACTGGTAGACGAACACCTTGTGGGTGGAGTAGAAGGAGTGCCAGTGAGCCGCCTGCTCCGTGCAGTGCAGGAACATTCGGTCGGTGAGAAGCTCCACCAGCTGCGCGGCCGTAGCGTCACCTATCGGCTGGTTACCGAAGTAGTGCTTGCGGATCTGCTCACTGACAGCTCTGGGGTCATTGGTGGAACGGGTCAGCCTCAGGAGCTGCGGGGCCACTTCTGCGAAGTTGTTATTGAGCTTCTCTAGCCTCTCGGGGCTAGTGAGCAGCGAGTAGGCTAGGTCGGCGCCCTCGTCTCGGTTGATTCCCACCACCCAGGGGCAGTGTCGGAAGTTGTTGGCCTCCATCAGCTGACTAGGTGGGAGCGGTAGGAACGGCTCGGCCGCGAAACCGTCCACCACGGGTCCGAACGGCGCCGCCGAGCTCAGGCGACTGCTCATGTGTGCCGTGGCGCGGCAGATTTCCTCCTCCGACACCTCTCGGAGACAGGCCACCATCGCGCTGCTGGGTGCCGTCGGACAGGCGAGTCTCTCGGCCAGTTCTGTGGTGCTCTCAATAGACTCGGGCACCAGCGCGCCCGGGCAGAGCGCCGTTCCGCTCTGAGAGATGGCTCGCTCGAACAGGTTCTTGGCGGTGGGCGAGAGCTGCAGCAGGTGGACGGACGCCCCGCCGCTGCCCTCGCCCATGATGGTGGTGTGACTGCGCAGGCCGCCGAAGAATTGGATGTTGTCGTCGATCCACTGCAGGGCCAGCCGCTGGTCCCAGAGGCCCTGGTTTCCGGGCGCCTCGGCGTCTCCCGTGCTCAGGAACCCTGTCGAATGAGATTGACTGTTAAAATGTGGCACGCGTTGATATAACTCGTTTCACTTATTATTTGAAAGTTTCCGCATTTCGACATCGCTTCAAAGTGACTGAAATTGCGTAGGAAATTTCACCAGATCTTATAGTTTTGCTTATGACGGAGAGTGACAAAACAAAAACGATATAGATTTGTGCAGAAATGCATCAATTACAAGTAACCAAGAACATATTTTGATTAACTTCAACACAAATCGTGTTGAGAACATTGACCAACAAGTTTACCTAATGTTATGCTTTGATGGTCTTCGTTCATTGATTGATGATAATAATAATATACAAGATTGTAATTTGTCAGTCAGTGCTCTCAATCTGTCGTTTACGAGCCCCATGCATATTCCATAATTGTGTATGGTGGAATATTCCGTTCAGTATGACCTCGTTCGGCCCCGGCATAGCGGTCGACCAGAAGTGTCAATGGGTTGAGCTGGAATGTTCTCGGAACGTTTATCAGGGAATCCGACGTCGCCTTATATGTGCCGCACACAATGCCTGTTAATGCCCTGTTGACGCACTGCCCTCGAGAGTTGGGGTTGCTGGCAGCGGTGGTCTATTTGTGACCTTTAGATGGATCCGGCTCGAGTATTGACGTACTAGACCGCTGAGCCAATGATGGAACAGCGTTTAGTGACGTGACGAGCCAGCATTTACGTGCACTAATGTGACACTGAAGGATGGAATTGTGGTGATAATGGAAGCCGCAGGGCTGGTGAACAAGTCTCACTTGTTGAAACGCGACCAGGGGCAGTGAACACCGCAGGGTACGAAATTTACGACTTTTTCCATTGTACTTGTATGGGATAAAACTAAGCAACGTTCATCAGAAAGTTTGCCATATCCCGTCTTACCGAAGGCTCCGAGTCAGAAGTTGACATCTTACCGAAGGCCCCGAGCCGGTAGTTAACGGTGACCAGCAGCACGTCGTGGTCGAGCCAGTAGCGCGGCCCGTACCAGCGACTGCTGCTGCTGCCCGCCAGCCAGTCGCCTCCGTGCAGGAACACCAGCGGCACGGTCGGGTTTGCCGGCGGCAGTTTTCGCGTGTAGACGTTCACGAAGAGACAGTCCTCGCTGCCGAGCGCCCTGCCAGCGGCCGGGTCCCACTGGGGGCACTCGGCACCGTCGACAGTGGCATCCCTCACCCCCTCCCAGGCTCCGGCCGGCTCGGCTCGAGCGAACCGCGCCGCCACCCGGCCGTAGGGGATACCCAGGAACGCGTAGATGGTGTGATTATCGAAGGCGCTGGTCATCAGCGTCGGACGCAGCTCTCCCTGAGGAATACGGACCACGGGAACGTCCTGGGCTGAGATAAGGGCGATGCACGCCGCCAGCACGGCCAGCACGGCCGGCGTGCGCGGCCACGTCACCATGGCGTGCACGGCTGAGGTCCGGGGACTGGCGATGAAATCGGACGATGGCGGACGGCGGTGAAACGTGATAGCTTGGTAATCACTCGCGAGACACTGGATAAAGTCGTCGGAATGCTCCACTCGTTACCACTCACTGCCTTCTCCGAACACTAAACACAACTCCACCGGCGCCCCGACCGGCCTCTCCACCACTGCCGTCGCCGCAGCCACCTCTGCCGCTGCCGTCGGGATGGATGCTGTGCCGCCGTGCGCCTCATCTCAGCCTGCGGCCAGTGACGTCACATTACCTGGCCGGGGTCAGTGGCCGGACAGGTGGACCGGGCAGGGATGGGACGGAGAACAGCGTAACAGGGCCGAGGGCATCCTGTCCGTGGCATCGCTGAAAGTCTGTGAGCCCGGCTGGAATGTGTATACTGAAATGCTCGTTCTTTTTTTTTGTCAGACGATGGACGTGCATTTCAGCATCTCAAAGTATCGTCACAATATTTTCGAATTTATATATAACATGTGTCGCTGGGTCTTGGGAGTCAGTTGGGCGGCGGGGGGGGGGGGCGGAGCAGGGCAGGAAAAGGACATCCAGAAACGCTGGGAGCACTTCTTTACGTAACATCATCCTCTTTATAAAAAGTTCGGTGGTGGTTATGGTGGTGGTAACTATGGAGTACCGAGACGTGTGAGCCGCTCGGAGACGGCGTTTGATCGAGTGCACTGTCGCTATAGCCCGGCGATCAATACCCAATAATAAAGGCTGCGACACCGTCCAATATTCGCCACCCAGAGCATGCTGTTGCTATGGTAGCGTGTTAATAATTTTACAGTGCAACGACCGCATCGATTCCTGGTAAAAAACAGTTGATAATTGATTGGTGAATGCATTTTTGATTGCGCATGCCGCATAGTACACTTCATATTTAACGAATTAACGAATTAATAATGAAGTCAAGTTTCGCGATGTGCTGCCCAAAGAACAGCGATCTCCGGTTAATGTCTCAAATCAATGTAACGTTTTTTTTTTCATTATTGCAACACTGAACCCAAAGAACCACCTGATAGCCACGTGACTCGATAACCCATGTATCGAACAGGAGGGTGCAACATAATATAGCGATGATATCCCAGCGCTAGACATTGATTTGCCGCTCAATACGCAATAAAAGGCAGGCCAGAAATAGTCGAGAATGGCAGCGTTGAAAGCGATTTATGATCATTGTTCGGTACCTAAATGTTAGGATGCTGCCACACAAGTGCTGAAACTATCAGTGTAGAATGTAGATGGCAGATGCCACTGTTATCTCTAGTTTTTAAGCGATAATTGTATACCTACACAATTACACATATACCTAAATAGTATATACATGACATCAATAAGGTTACACACAAGTGTAGGTAACAGGTTTGCCAATTGTCGGCGCAGTTTACGCAAACGGACTTTGCGCCGATGCACCGTTTTGAGCTCAAATGCAGCGTTGGTAACTGTATGATCGATTACCTCACCCTTGTTTCTGTCTGTTTCAGTCACCAGTTTCATATGGTGTGCGTGGACCCGTGGCTGCTGAAGAACCGCTCATGTCCAATGTGCAAAATGGACATCCTGAAATACTACGGCATGGTAAGGAGGAATAAGGATGCTCACAAAAACTAAAAAGCAACGACAGTTTTTATTTTCCTACGAAGTAAAATAGATGAAAAATTATTGTGCATGTCTGTAAGGCCAAACTCACTTCCCCCGTGAGCTGTAACCCGTTCTAGAAAAAAGTTGTAGATAATAAGTTTTACATTAGTAGATACGAAAAGTTAATATAAACTTTATATTAACCAAAATTTAATGTGAAAAGCATCACAAAAACGTAATATCGTTTATTTTTCGAAAACAATATTACGCAAAAACCGCAAGCCCGCAAAAACCGCACGCAGAAAACGCATAGTGTAGCCAGGCATTTAGAGCCCTGCGGTGCAGCATAACAGCAGGCGCACACTACTAGCGACATCTATGAGCGGAAATATAACCTTGGGGACCGTTACCTAAGGCTGCTGTAGGCTCTCTCTCTCTCTCTCTCTCTCTCTCTCTCTCTCTCTCTCTCTCTCTCTCTCTCTCTCTCTCTCTCTCTCTCTCTCTCTCTCTCTCTCTCTCTCTCTCTCTCTCTCTCTCTCTCTCACCCTCCCTATCTCTCTCACCCTCCCTATCTCCCTCTTTCTCCCTCTCTCTCACTCTCCCTATCCCTCACTCTCCCTCTCTCTCCCTTTAGCCTCTACCTCTCTTTTCTCCCTCATCCATCACATCACGTATCGATCCGAAGCTCCCGTGTCCCGGGCGACGGCTCTAGACGCGCTGACGTCTTTGGCGACGGCGTTATTTCTGGGACGGCGCAGCCTGGTACTTTTTATCCGGCTTACCAACGCAGCTGGTGGCTGCGTTGGCCCCGTCCGGCCCCGTCCTTTCCCGCCATAGTCCGTCGCTCTCCACTACTTACTACGGAACTTCAGGCGGGATCTTCACGGAGATGACACTTATCAGGGATTCCTTGTGACCCTTAGCCGATATAACATTTTCAGTGGAAATTTTTATCGCTTCTTGTCACTACTGGGGCATTCCACGTCAAATCGAACAAAAATCGGCTGTTTTGCACCTTACCATCCGCGATTTCATTATAAATTTGTGAGCGAGTTCCTGTGTCGCCCCGAACATTACATTGATGTTTTTTGCACATTCTGACCACAGGTCTTCTAAATATAGGGCATCGAATTTTTACAAAATGTTGCATCTTTATATTTTTGAACGACCATAACTTTGGTTGTACTTGTTTAATTTGAATGAAATAAACCTTACTATTTAGGTAATTTCTTAAGCATTTGTTTAGAATTGCACCTACTTAAATATATGACCTTGAAATTTGCTTAACTCTGTTCTTAAGCACAAAAATTGAAATAGCAAAAAACACGTCACCTTCGATTTGGCTAATTTTCATATATTTTATTGCCTACCATATTCTTAACAACTTGTGAAAAAATTAGAGTGGGCCATTCATAAGTTTTGAAGAAAATGGCACATATGCAAACGTATGTTAGCACGCGCAGTGAAGTGGGAAGAGTGAATTTCGCCCCACCCCTCCTGTTTTTCACCAATATCTCATAGTATTAATGCGAAATTAATTATAGCTACCTGTCCAAAATTGAATTGCACATCTCATCGTGCAAGCAAGAAGAAAATCGGTTCACAACTGGTCTAGTAATAGCGGTGTAAAGTGAACATCCTGTCGCCGCGGCGACTCGGCAGCCGGCGCCGACCGCTAGCCGCCGCCTGAATTGTAGACTGTGCCGGGACGGAACGGAACGGTTCCGTCTTTACATCGCGCTCCTTACCGCTGATTACGTTCGATTCGCGTCAAATTTTGTGAGAAGACTAAGAAATGTACAGGCAATCTTATGGTGTAAGATTTTTGAAAATCGGTTTGTAAACAATTGAAATATGAACGTGTAAACACAAAATTGTGATTGCTGCGTTTCCCGCGTCGGCCGATCCCGCCTCAGCCGGCGACATGTTACTCTTAGCAGGTCTCTAACTGCCATATTTATTATTGGATTAACTAGAAATTCCCCATACATACTCAAAAATGTATATTCTTTCGTATAGTGAAGATAAAAGGACGTGAAGATATCGTTGCGTGATAATGTTTTCGTTGAATTTTTGGCTTCATGATGCATTTCCACACGGCTCAAAATTCACCGCAAAATACCGTTTGCCTGAGACACTTTTACTATGGAATTTGAATGCTTGACTACGATGACTATGTATTTCCATTCTCGCAGAGTTTGGGATATCACTAATCAGCAATCATTCATTTCAGAAAGTGTACACAAGCAAGCATGTCTTGACTCTGTCTTTCAAGGTCACGCGCGGTTGCGTGATGTTGATGCATGAAAACGGCGTTTGCCGCGAGAGTTATGAATGGCCCACTCCAATTTTTTCACAGATGGTTAGGAACATTGTGACGGACATAATATGTAAAAATTACCCGAATCGAAGGTGACGTGTTTTTTGCTATTTAAATTTTTCTGTTTTAATTCAAGGTCAAATGCATTTCAAGGTCACTTCAATTTAATTTTATAATTAAAAATCAAAGCCTTATCAATTGCCTACAAGACCCTGTTAGTATCATTTTGATACCAGAAAGGGAACCAGAGTTATAGACATTTAAAAAATTGATGTGTGGCATTTTTGGCTATATTCGATGACCTATATCTCAGCGATACTTTATCAAATTTCGAAAATATTATACGTAACTCAGTTTTGAACCATGCCCAGTCTGCCTACAAATTTTCAGAAAAATCAAAGGGGATGACGGATTTTGGTGTTTGATTTGACGTGGAATGCCCCTACTTATGTAGAACTGACGCGATGAATACTCGTATACCGCTGACGTTTATTAGGGAGCATTACGGACTCAACAACGTTGATTGGCTTCACAAATGTATTGTGAAAATGCCGTCGCTATCGCCTGTTGGATTCTAATGTATTTCGATTTCCTTGGATTGAACATATTCCCTTTTAATAATACACATCAAATATAAATTATGCTTTTGATTAAAAAAGATCACGTAAATGATGTATTAAAAATTATCATTTTTTTGCATTCACCTTTTAATGTGAAGGATTGTATGGCTAATAATGAAATATATAGGGGAGAGTGGGGAAAGATGCCCAGGGTTTTACTTTGTCATATATTATTCGAAAATGACGATGGGAAAGCAAAAACTTGTAGTTTCAACGGAAGCCGACATCATTTTTCTCCAAAAATATCACACTTTCGTGCTTGAAATAAGATAACTTTTTTGCTATTAAGCATTTTCCTGAAGAAGTGAAAGGGGGCATCTTACCCCACAGGGTGGGAAAGACGCCCCCTGGCGTTGGGTAAGATGCCCCCTGCACTATAAGTGACATAAATGGGCACGTGAATCGCCTGAACGAATCAGTAGTCCCTTCGGGCCTGCAGTAGACACCAAACGTCATCGTAAGGGCCCTCAAAAGTAGTCGTAAGGGGCTTCAGAGGTCATCGTTAGGGCCATCATAGTCCAGCGCGGCCAAACAAGCCTCCGTGGTGGCGTTCGGAGACCACTGTGGGGCCCTTATAGGTCTTCATGATGCTTGAGGGCCCTCGAGCCCATCGTGGGGACCTCAGATGCCAGCGCGGCCCGTGGAGCCAACGTGGGAGCCCTCAAAGGATGTCGTGAGGGGCCCTGGAGCCAATAATGTGGCCCACAGAGGCCGTCGTAAGGGCTCTCAGAGTCAGATGCCGCCCAAAAAGTCGCTGTGTGGGCCGAGAGACCGGCATGGGGAGCACCCGACCGTACTGGACTCTCAATAGTCCCAGATCGGCTTTTGTCTCTCATCACAGGTATGTAATAAATGATTTGACGGGCTGCTTGAAGGACAGCCTACGGATTTAGGGGGGGGGGCGTCTTTCCCCATCAGGACAGGGGCATCTTACCCCAAGGTACCGAGGTAACATTAAATCAGTACCTACAATTTGTTATCCATAAAACTACACCCTGAAACAAGCTGTTTGGGACACAGTACACGCATGTTAATTTATCACGACTATAGCAAGGGACGCAAAAATTAACTACCTTCTTTGATATTTACAATGTTTTGACACCAAAATATTTTTTGAAAGCAGCAAATAAAAAACATGCAATCACCAGCCAGCCGTTGCCCAACTGAGCCTCGCAAATTTTTGTGCAGTTAACAAGGCAGGCTTCCGCTTTACGCTAAGAACATTAATTTCCAGGTTCGATTCTTTGTTTCGCCGCTAGAGGGGGTGGGGCGTCTTTCCCACCCTGGGCATCTTACCCCACTCTCCCCTACAACGATCACTGCCGCTGTATTAGCATCCCTTTCGTTCCATGTAATTGACGATTCTCTGCGCCTGTACAGACGGTGGTGACTGGCGAGGAGGGCCTGCCCCAGTTGGGGTCGCCGGGCGAGCCGACCAGCCCCGAGCCGGTGCCCGTCTCCATGGGGTCCGGCCGCTCCTCACCCCACCAGGCCGACCGGCGGTCACAAACGGTCAGTGGGGGGGAGTTGGGAGGGGGTGGGGCAGAGGGCACGGAAAGGCTGGTCGCTGGTGTCTGCTTTGTTTAGAGAACTCCTACACACACTTTTTTATACTGTTGCCAATTTTTAGTCGAGTATGGCTTTTCCGTTTTGTGCCGTCTTGGAGGTTGTGAGCAATTCGCTTCATTTGCCTGCAGTTTTTGTAATGAATCATTAGCGTCTTATAATGAACGTCTTTTCTTCCTTTGTGTTAAAAATATGTTGTTTGAACTTGAAAAGGACCTTTTTGCTCTTACTCTTTTGACAGTCTGTTGTTTGAACTTCAAAAGGAGCTAACTGCTTGCATGCCCATAATATACCATGCATTTAAAAGAACCATCCTCCACTGACTAGATATGTTACTTGTAATGACAGATTTTATGGGCGAATTATTGTCTCCAGTAAATTAAACCCTTCACCTTGCCTTATTCAAATTTTAAATTAACAGCACGGCCTTGAACCTCACTCTGAAATCTGCATCAGTATTCAGCTCCTGATATGCTCTTGCAGCGTTTTGTTAGCGAATGAAATTAGCTGAGAATTTAGCTAGATAGTGTCTAGTGCCCTTTAATATTTCATTGCCAAAACCCGGTTCAAAAGATGACATTTGCGCTGCTACATCACATGAATTAAAAACATTAAATGATACTTTTAGTGCGTAGCAGCCTCATAACAGCTTAACAGTTCAACAAACTAGCATAAATGGTTATCGCTGTTTTACCAAGAGGCTCACACCTGTTTGACTCCACAGGCGCCGTCGATGCCGCCGAGCCTGGTGCGGATCGCAGTGCCACCTGGCGGCGCAGAGGGCAGCACCTGCGCGGGGGCAGGTGGCAGCACATGTGCGGCCGGCTCGGCCAATTCCTGCGAGTCCCAGATGGCGCTGCAGTGCGCCAAGCTGTCGGACGTCTCCTCGTCGTGTCCGTCGATGTCCGGGACGCCCTCTGCTGCCTACGACTGCTCCGAGTCTGTCGACAGCCCGCTGAACCTCGACTCGGCGCTCGAGCGAAGGCTCTCCCTGCCAGATGGTAGGTGAACTGACCGTCGTAAACTGCGAACAAGACAAAAGGTGCCTGGCTTCCTACTGGTAGCTAAGGGACTAAGAGTGCATTAAGAGGTAGATACCGGTTTCGCTATGTAATGCTTGCATATGTTCCTTATTTTGAGCCAATTTTGGACATTCCTCTCACCAGGTTTGTAGCATTTCTATTGAATCTGACCTATCTCTCGTCCCGACAGATGACTCGAGTCTCAGTGAGAGCGCTGCCACGTTCCAGTCGTGCCATCCGGCCTCGTGCGAGAGTCTCAGCTGCGGCTCGCCAGATGTCTCGCCAGGCGCCGGCCGGCCCGAGCCGCCCACAGCCGATGCCATGGTAGTCGTCCACATGAATGAGATGGATACGTGAATGTGTGGGTGTGATTTGTGATGAGATGTTCTTGTGGTAGGAAGTGTGCGATGTGTCCTGCTGTGACGAGAGGATGTTACGCTGATCGACGCTCGTCACTGCGCGATCGGAGGCTAATCGGTGACGTCAGAGGGTGTGTGACGCCAGTGACGTCATCACTGAGACGCTGGAACAATTCGCCGTTACCAGCGTCCGTCCAGTCGAGTCTTTCGGGGGCGAGCGGTCAGAGATACGAGACGAGTCTCCTTGCAACGTCCAGTACCGGCGGCGGCGCAGTTGTGGCCGTAGACGACAGATGGCAGCACGGGTCGAGGTCAGCTGACTGCCGGACCGCCAGCGTAGCACAATCCGCCGGCCAGTGAGGGGGCGCCGGGAGCTGCTTCTGGCCGAGGAGGGTCGCGGTCGAGGCCAGAGGGCATCTGGCGAGTCATTTTAGACTAGGTTTGCGTTCTATTTTGCTCTGATCTGACTAGTGACTCGCTGAGTTGTATCGTCGCTCTGCTGAAGGTTGGAGTGGTTTTAAAACGCGAGGGTATAAAGAAGGGTGCCTATGTTTTGTGATTTTGCTTCAATTGTTGATGCTGGCCGCTTAAGTAGGTGTCATGTTTGTAATCTTGTATGTTCCTGACGTACCCTCTTATTGCCGAAACAAACAAACCAAATTGAGTTTTAACTCTATTGTTCCCGATTTATCGGAGTGAAAGTGCTGCGACGATGTTTTAGGATGTGCTTTATTGACTCGAGTGACCGATTTTAATGGATTCGTTGGATGTCCGCCACCGAGACACCCATTCGCTCAGAGTTTTATTCAGTGACTTTTGTCTCTATGAGACTAAAGCCAGGCACCGAGTCCCAATTACTATCCATGGGGCTGACCGGATGCCCCGCGTTAGCATCGAGCCGGAGATGCGAAAGAACGATCAACCACCCAGCATCGCCCCGCCCATGAACTGTTAAACTACGGAGGCTGGCCGGGTCGGGTGTATGTCGACCGCAGGCGGGCGCGAGGGCCGTCCTCACACTGTGTGTCACCGTTGGGTGTCCGTCTGTCGTCCGTATTACTGAGTGTCTCTGAGTCAAAGTGTGTGTGTCTCACGGGCCGGCGCCGCCCGACACTCAATACAGGGCATCGCTCCTTGGAGACGACACCATTCCGTGTGAAGCGAAAATATATGGTTTGTACGCAATGAACGTGAATTAAGGCTGGGGTTGGCTGGCGGGATTCATCTGTTGATCACATTACTGTGATCACATTCGGTGGTGCTCCTGGGCGCCATACGTCGATCGATCCGAAGGTATGATGGGGGCTGAATGCTGAGGCCCGAGGGGACGGTCAGACGGCGAGGTCCAGACCAGCACCGGCAAAGCAGAATGGGTCAGGCAGACTACCCCTGAACAAAAGCAGAGTGAGCCATTCGAAGCTAATTCGTTCACACCAGCCAAGCTGCCACCTCAGCCAGCAAAGCCCGGACCTCAAAGTCTCCATTGATTAGCTTAGTCCAGAGAAGGCGAGCCCAGCTCCTTCTAGCGCACTCTCCCGACCAAACGCCACAGTAATAGTTTTATTTTCAGCCACTAGATGTCAGGCCGAGCACCGCCGCGGCCCGCGCGGGGCCCTGAGCCGGCACTCCCGCGCTAGCCTCTGCCGGGGTGCGGCGCGGAATGCAGGTATCGTAGCCGCCGGAACCGCGGTGCGACCGCAACCGGCGCGCCTGGTCCCGCTGTCTGGAGTTGCTGGAGATGACGATGTCCTGGAAGGGGAGGGAAATACCTATCGCAACTGAAGGAAGGTCACCAGGTCATGATTGCAGGGTTGCAGGGTGGGGGGTGGGGGGGGGGGGGGCAGGCAATGGTGGCGCAGACAGCGAGTCGCGGACTGAGACCGTGACGCTGACTGGGCCACGTGGATTGTTTGTTATTTGCTTGGGTTGGAGTATTGTATCTACGTTGACATATACGAGAGCAGAGAGATTATAAGTCGCAAGACTGTCTATGAACATTGAACAAGTCAGCCTGGCACAAAAATGTCAGCGCTGCGGCTCACAGTCACTGACGTGCTTCCATGAGCACCGTTCTCGGACGGCTCATTCATCCGTTCGTGTCTGTTAAAGGGACCCTCCCACCTTCAAAAAAGTTAATGAATTGGCATGAAAGTGATGTCGCTCGGTTCAGAAAGAGCAAAAATGAATATCTACCAAATTTCATCGAAAAATATTCACCGGTTTTCAAGATATTAGACTTTTACTTTTGTTTACTTTTTGGGATCTCCGCTGTTCCTAGCGACTTTATTTGAAAGTGCGGCATTTGTTGCGCGCAAAGCAGCATATACCACCGCGTGCTGACAAACGTTTTAGTAAAAGATTTAAAAATCGTTAGATCTCCGCTGACGTCACAAATTCTAAGGGGGCATACCAATGCATTAGCCCCTTAGAATCCGAAAACTGCAAGTTTGAAATTCCATATCTCCGAATTAAAGCATTTTTCGATGTTGTGAATGCCCAAACCGGTATTTTCAGGCCATGGCCACCAATTTGGCTATCTCAACTCAAAACTAATGTTAAGGTGGGAGGGTCCCTTTAATGAAAGACCAGCTTTGGAATATCCAGCCTCTTAAAAAACTCTACACCCAAGAATGTCTGTCAATTAGGCTCTGAGCTATGAGCCAGCGCTATTCGGTCAGGAAACGTCAGGACTGAGCTCGCCGTGGCCGCAGAAAAGCCGCTGAGTTCTGCGAGCGAGCCAGCTCAGGGGCCCGGCCGCCCAGCCACATTCCTCTCTGACAGAATGACCTGACCGCTGGAGTCACGCAGTGGAACACAATGAGATCAGTTCAGGTCAGGTTAAGACCAGACTGAGTTGGAACGGTGGTGACGGGACTGGCTGGTGTCGATAGTGGCGGTCACAATTCACAGGTCATTCACAGGTCATGTCTTTGATCGTGGAAAATAGTTCAGCAGCCCATCGATGCCCTCGAAATCACTTCAGACTAAAAGCCTGTGTGATTGACCACCAGAATCGGAAAAAAATGTTGATGTGGTTTGGTGCTAGGGAACGGAGACGAGACGGATACGGGACGGAGACGGCAGTACGGAAACGGGACGAAATCAGGCCGGAAATGGCACGAAGACGGGACGGAAATACGACAAAAACGGAACGGATACGGGACGGGGACGGAACAGTGGTGGGACATTCAAATTACTTCACTCTCCTCGCCTCACCTCACGGCCCACCTCGTCAAACGCCGCTGAGTCCTGAACTCAGTGGCGGCGGCGGGTCGGCAGTGACGGCGGTATACCTGAGGCGGCTAAGGCGGAGCCTTTGATCTTCCCCGGCTAATTCGCCCCGGCTAATACCGGTCGGATATATAGGTATTATAGGGAGGCATGCGCTAATCTCGATCCGCCGAGCCTGGGAGGCCTGGGAGTGACCACTTCGCCGAGGCTCGGTCAGCTTGCCAGAAACGAACGCATAACATATGTACAAATGTCCCGCAGGTGATGGGGATAATGGACATGTCACCCGAGCAGCGTTAGCGAAAAAGCGGGGAACGGCGGGGTGCAAATTATTTGTCATGAAGTTGCGTGACAAAGCAACTTTGCCAATGTCGCATATCATTCTAAAAGTATACTCTGAATGAGTTACCTACATAAAGGTGGTCGGTAGCCTGATACTTTTCACATCGCCATAATCGACATCTAGCAGGGACGTAGCCAACTGCCAAAGGGGGGCCACCGGGGCCATGCCCCCCCCCCCCGAAGGTGAAAAATAAAATAAAATTAAAAACAAAACAAAAATAAATAAAACAGCTGCACCACTGCCCAAAAATAGTAGGCCAGATCCGAGGAGTTTTCTTTTTGGAGGGGGTACGACACTAAGCCGCGACCTGTGGCCCCTCCCTGAGCAAAATGCTGGCTAGGCGTGCGTGCAATCCAGCAGCGACAGTGGCTTGAAATGAATGCAATGAAGCCTAAATAATTTATGAATAAAACAACTTAATCTCTTCTGAAGTCAACAAGCGCATTAGCATAGAGACGATTATCCGCAGAAGAATATTTCCATTTTTGTTACACAATAAAGTCTCCTTAGCTTACTCGCATAACGATGTCAACGGCTACGCACTGTATAATTCTGTTCTTTATATTACATACAAACGGAGCAAATTCCGCAGTGGCATTTAGACTGGACTGGGAATCTGCGTTTTATTTCCTCGCCCACGTGGTTCTGCCCTGAGTCCGCTCATGTACGGTTCTCTGTGCCTAATCGGATCACTGAGAGGAAGGTGACTTAGCCGTCCGCTTACTGTTGGCACTGAGAACCATGAGAGAGCAAAGCTCGGCCACTCCCATACGCCACACGCGAACGAGTCTTTCGAGCCCAAAAGCTTATTCAGCTCTGCGTGCCACGGCGAGGGATGGGTCCAAATTCAGAGGCCCGATGGGAGAGACCTTTGTACTGAGGAGACAGGGCCCATCTTAACCCTATTCCTGGCGGGGGGGGGGCCTCAGGAGCCCCCCCCTGAGGTTTTTTGGTTATTTCTCCCAAACGCGTTGAGCTAGGAAGCTCAAATTTTCTGACTTTTCCTAAAAGGCTTCTACGCAACATGTCTGAAAATTTTGAGTTGATCTGACCTCAGGTCAGGTCACCAGAGGCGGTTTGGTGACCCTACCTCAGAAAAGTTTGCAATCACGCCAGAGCTAGAGTTTTTGACCGATCAATTTCTTCTCTTCAGGCAGTATGTGCAATTTGTATATCTCGGAATTTCGATATCGGTGACCTAAGGTCAGGTCAGTTTCGCGACCTCCCCATTATAAGTCAATGGGGGAAAAATCAACTCCCTGTTTTTACCACTAAAACGGGTCGGAATGGCCCCATATACCATACATGACTTCATATACGATCAACCTTCACTACCTTGAGGTCTGTTTTGCTGTTGGGCAGCTGTGAGGTCATGTGACGTCATCAAAGGTCACCAAAGGTTTTTGGCCAATAACTCCGTACAGGAACAAGATACAGACGCGTGGATGGTCTCATTGTGTTCAGCTCGTCAAGACGCATCGAATGATATACATGATGACCTCGAGGTCACGTGACCTGAGGTCAACCTTTGACCTTGACCTTTCGAGGTCAACATATATCATTCGATGCGGATTGACGAGAGGATCACGATGATGCCCTTAGTTTGTTCCTATCTTGACTAATTCGAAAGTTATTCGAGAAAAACTCTCTCCATATCTAGCGCCGCCATTTTGACTTTTTCGACCCCTGTGACGTCATCTTTGACCTGACCTGAAAATGACCTCTGTAAAAATTGTAGATCTTGACCGTGCGTATCCGATGCCGTTTACCGCTTGTCGCTATCTTGCTTCGTTCTCGAGATTTTAGGGGGGGGGCCGAATCGGCCCCCCCGCCAGTTTCTTGTCCCGGCGGAGCCCGCCAGGAATAGGGTTAAAGAATGTATATGTAGAGCTAAGAAAGCAAGGAAGCCTGCTGACTCCATGACCAGAATTCCGTTAGGAGAGTAGGTAAACGTCAGTGATCAGTCAGATGTAAATCCATCTAAACTTCTAAAACTCTCAAACGATAATTTTGTTCTCGGGCTCCTGCTACTATTTTCATATCTTTTTTTTTATTGAAGAAGAAGAAATATCGTAATAATTCTGCAAATTGGAAACATATACCTAATAACTAATTGCCCCTATATCATTGCCAGGAAAATAGAACGAAGAAGCATAAACTTTATGCATAATGCTTCTGAAATAACCTGGATCATAAGGTGCATCTACACTTGCATTTAAAAGGACGAACACAGTGCACCGGTTTTATATCTAATCAGCACTTCACCTGCAGTTCACCTAATCCGAACTGCATATCTCGCAGTTCGGATAACAAACTTCGGTCAATAAAAATCTGTTCCATATGACATAATAACGGGCCCATAATAAATTCTTGAACTGTCATGGTTGGCGTCAAATTGTTACAATGCCCCCCCCCCCCGGCCCCCACCCTCATTTCCCACATCACCCCCGCGATCATCAGTGTTCTGATTGCGCGTTACTTTCGCTGGGCGCGCGCGGTCCGGCGCACTGCGTACACTCTCCGACACACGGTCCCAGCCGGAATTAAAAGCCATTTCTCCGGCGCGGCGCCCGCGGCAGTCACGCCACAGCGCGCCGGCCGCCCTGTCAGAGGCTGTACTCATTGCGGAGGAATGCGGCCGCCCGCGCAGAGGCTACGCTCGCTGGTTTACCACACGGCATTCCGTCGGCCGAGAAAGGCCACGGCGCGGTGGCGGCTGGCAGTGTTGTGCTGGGAGCCCGTGTGGGGGTGCGCGTGCTGTGAGCGGGTCGGCCGGGCGTGCCGTGTGCCGTGCTGCGAAACAGAGCGAGAGTGTGTCGTGGTGTGTGTTGCGAGCCTGCCACTATGGATCTCTAGGAGGCTGACCGCAGTCAGCTGGACATTCCCAGGTGAGGAGTCGCAGGGGTTCGGTTGACTGACACCTGTTGTGAAGCAACAGGCGGGAGGCGAGGGCGAAATGGCGACTGGCGCCGCGTGATTTCTGAGGTCGGGTTAGGACGTAAATCTCGACAACTCAACTCAGCGAACAGAGTACCTAGGATTAATAAAGCACACTTTGTCTACTGCCATCACACAGTTTTCCGTTATAGGCCAGCCTGCTGACTGTTTTGAGTCACTGGGGAGGAAGTTTAGAGTGAACTTTGACCAAGAACCGGGTGATTCACGTCAATGGCATGTATGTCACTCTATCTAACGGACTTTGTACCCGGTGACCGATCAGCTGTGAGGTGTATCGTGTTTGTGGGCGGTCTCAGTCTGTGTTGGTCGATGTGTGACAAGTGTGCTGTTTGTTGACTCCTCATTCCTCAATCATTTCGACCATTCGTCCTATAAGTGCGACCGATAGGCGTATGTTGATACTGCATAGTCGACAGCGACGGTATGTTCTCTAGCTACAGCGTACAGAACGGAACCAGTGTAGCTCAAATCACGGACATGGGGCACTCGACGTCTACCTTACCGCTTTACTGAAATGTTCTGGCACTGCGATAGAGTCAGTGCCGGTTGGAGTGGCATCAACAAACGGCCAGACACCGGTTGTACCGCTGTTGGATTTTTCTGTACCACCGGACCACTGCACCTATGCAGGGGTAGGTACAGTCGACGGCAGCATGCTGCCGCCGGCTGTGTGCCATGCTGGAATGCCACAAACGGGACGGGGTCGGAGCGGCGACCCGTCGGATGCAGCACCTTCACTGTAAAAAAAACTTACAAGCCCCTCGTAGAGGAATTCTCAGCGCAAAAATAACATTGCAGGAGCGTGTAAATTTGGCTAATTTTAGGCTAGTTGCCGAGTAACAAGCTTGTTCGACAAGGCTGTGCCTCGTATGCATACGACCACCGTGCTCCACCTAGTTTGACAACACGCACGTAAATAAGGTGGGTAGTGCGTCTACTAGGTGTCATAATAGCCCCTGCCTGGTAAGGTAACTAGCCACTGCCTACTAATCCATACCCAGTAATTGTACTAGCCCCCAAGGCTAGTAGTGGTACTAGCTCAAGGCCAGTAGTGGCACTAGTTAACTAGTACCACTACTGGTCTTCGGGGTCGAGGTGCACTGGGTTGACGGAATTCCGTCGACGGAATTCCGTCAACCAGTGCCCCCGACTCTCGACCGCCACCCGCAAGTAAACAGACTGAGTAGCGCTGCAGCACATTTATTCGGGCACGAGAACGAGAACAATAACAACGCCAGGACAATAACTATAACTTTAACAACAACAACAACAACAACAACAACAACAACAACAACAATAACTAACTGAATAATTTGCAATCAGGTTTCTAAAATAACCACCATCAAACATTTGTGATTTTTCATTAGCTCTGCACCGGCGGCAGTCGCGGGGTGAAGGTAGGCCAGGCCACATGGCCCCATTCTTTACCAGAGAAGTCTGTAATGGGTGAAAAACGAATATCAACATTATTATTATCATAAGGCATACCAATCTGGAAAATGATTAAATTAAAGTTGAAGAAAGTGATATATTCCTGCCACAAGCTAGCTTAAGTCCCAAACATATAGCTATTCTGACTTGGATAGACGATAACGGCGCACTTCTGCCAACGACGGGCAACATTATGCGATACTATACATCTTCTAAGAAGCTCAACAACATAATAACTTTTGTTTACAAATGGACAACCTTTTTGTTGAGCACACAGCAAATGATACAAGATGCCTCACCTTCAATCAAGCCAAAGAGCAGTTGGGCAGACACACACAGTAATGGCGACGCAACACAAAATGGACGCCGGCTCCCGGATGCGGGGGGGGGGGACTCCTTCTGAAAGCAGCCACAGACTCCTAGGTTGTAACATGCGACGAGGATAGCTATGAGGCACATCCTCATAGCCATCCGAAGCCGCTAACCACGCAAGCTTGCCAGCACGTTTATCAGCTGCAGGCGTTCGTCACAACAAGCGGGGTTGCACGCAAGGTTATCCGTTTAGTAGGTGCCAGCCGGGGCCTCGTCAGCTGAGCTAATAGCAAAATGACCTAATTGAGGGACACGCCAAAAACTGGCCGAGAACAAGCCAACGGCGGGTAACACTGTGAGGCTGTGCGTAGTTCATTAACACTGCGCAAAATTAGGTTCCTGAACATGCTCTCGCTCGTAGGCATTTGTTCCACAAAGGGCATTGTTAACGTGCATGGCTCTGACTACTAATGTCCATATATGTTGTAACGAGGTGCAAGGGAGGCACTCGTAAAAAATGCCTTATTTCAAAATTAGCTAGTGAATTTTTTTTTACAGTGTTGACCGAGAGCCGCTCGCACTAGCACTTGGTGCCAGCAAACAACAAACTCCGAGATGACCGTGTGGATAATAGTGGTGTCAATCGGAACTTGAATCTTCGGGTTCGGAATTCCGATTTTGTTCAGTGTCCAATTCGGAATTCGGTTGGACAATGACAGCAGGCTTTGGACAACTTTGGACAATCGCTTGCTACACCTCAACATTTTTATAAAGTAATCGTGTTTCAGATTGATTGGCTATTAGAAAGCTCAGCTTTCGATATGATTACCACTTTTAAGCTGGTAACGATACATTAAAAGCAAATTGGATAACGGTGTTGAGTGTAAACTATTGCGTAGATGTCGGACATCTTTGGACAAATGGCTGGCTTGGACATTTTTGGACGGACAGTCGACGTAAGTATTGGACATTGGACGGACATTGGACACATGTTTTCTGAAATTGACATCACTAGTGGATAGTGACATTACATAGTGCCGGCGGTGTGCCTGCGGTGCTCTGCCATTTTAGAGAAGCCTTTTCTGTCTGAAGGATTCTCAGCTGGTGTCAATGTCACGGAAACATATAGGTTTGCCTTACGAATGACAGGATTTCAGAGATTCCAAGGCAAGTCACGGGCACTGAGATCTTAGCTTTGCCCTACAAATGACAAAATATGTCTCAGAGTTGGGTGTCTCTGCAACCGCTGAGCACCCGTGATGGATTAGTCAGTTACTGTGTCACAGGGCCACAGCTCACACCTGTGATAGCCAAAGGGCTGTGTCAGCGGCACAGACTCACAGTCCTGCACTTGTGCACAAACACACCTGCGTCCGGCGCGGCGGCGCGACGCCCTTGGGTCGGCCTCGGCCGAATAGCGCCCGCCCTGCCGGCTCGGCCCGACGAGGAATGTGACCTAGGCTGGGTGCCGGCTCGGAGCGCGCGGCCATGACTTGTGGGGAAGGCTAGAACGAGGACTAGCGGCTTCCGGCCGAAGTGCAGAGAGGGTGGGTTCTAGGAGGCTTTGCTGCACTTGGATGAGCTGTACTAACGCAGTAAAATGTCGATCGTGTATCATATATTGAATTATTTAAAAGGCATCCAATAGGTATCCACGCTTTGGCTTGGTCTGGTCCTAAAGATTTTGTTGTCAAGACAAACAGTTGCTAAGTAGTGACCGTTTGTTTAAAATTACTTTTATTGCGGAATCTTCCATGTCATGCGAACCAGTTTTGTGTTTTCCTCCCCATCTGTTATCGTTTTTGTGCTGTATCTTTCCAGTTAGTCTTAATTTGGTTGTCGCAAGTGACATAAATAGGCATATCGTTTACGTCAGCAAGCATTAATTGCTGGGAATTTCTTCAGATTTAGATTGTGCTGATAACAATGTACACAAAACCATCGTTGCTAAACGCTAACACAGGTTGTTCGACCGGGCATTTTCAGCAAACCATTCCTCGATTTGTAAAACTTGAATTCACTTAAATATCCGCTCAAATAATGGCCGATTTACTGTTGCAAGTCACAAAACAGAACCACTCAGTCGCATCTCCTCAGTGACCGCCGACCGGAAGAAGGAAGTCGTTTGTGCATCATCGACCATCATCTCTCACGGTCTCCCCGGCGCTTCACGATCGCTGAACACGTGTTTCGTGGGAGGTCCGTCCGTGACCCGTGCCGTGAACACCTCGTGACCGTGACCGTGACCGTGAAGGAGGGACGGCGGCACGAGCCAGCGTGAACCGGCTGGGACCGTGAGAGGTCCATGGTTCAGTGCAAAGGACAGGTGGTGAGCTGTGTTGGTACTGGGTTGTCGTGCCTTTTGGACAGAACTATGATGACCCGCGTTCGTGGATTTCATAGATTGTTGGGTCGAATATCTGGTGATCATCTATGAACTGCATACCTACCTTTTTAACTAGGCTGTTCAGATCCGCTGGGCTGTGTGTTTAAAGGTTCCATGTGCTTCATTTTATTAACTTATGATGCAACATCCGAGTGACATATGTAGAGTACCGTTCTAACCGAGTGATATGACTAACTGGGTTGATCCATTCAGGTGCACCCATAGGTCACGCCTCTGACCTGTGCCAGCTCTGGCCTTATAGTCACCGTGCTCTGGCCGGTGCAGGTGCACTCCTGAACGGCGCCAGGTGTGGGGGGACTCACCCCCCCCCCCCCCAGCAGACACACTCAACCGGAAGTGACTGTGGGTTGTGTGGAAAGTCCGGCCGGCTGGCATGCCTTGAATCGTTTACGTTCTCCCGCCTCGGCTGCCCGAAGATCGGATCTTGGCCCTGAAGGCCGCCAGGACTCGCGGCGAACGTGGAATAAGTGAAATGCTTTACGTTGTGGTCGAAGTGTTCGTTATTTTCTCACGTTTTGAATTGGTCGGAATGGGGCTAGAGTAATCGATCTGAAGGTTTTGTGAAATGTCCCACGACTGTTTGCTTCAAGGTCTTCGACATGCCTGTGTGGCACTGCTAGTTGTGATGTGGTAAATTTGCTCCAATTTACATTCCTCAGTGAGTGGCACGAGCCCGGCACCCTGCCGCTCCTGCTCCCTTCATGATTCGAGATCTCCTTCCCCAGCTAAAGCCTTCCTGCCTTTGCCCAAGCGTCACTCCATAGCCCAGACCTCCTCCCTGGCCTGCGCCTCCCTCCATAGGCCTCCGCTCCTGGCTCATTGCCTTCCTGCACAACTCGGCCTCACCTGCCGGTCCGGGTCCGCCCCTGGCCCGGGGCCTCCGCCATTCCAGCGAACCTACCACGGCCAGATCGCTATCGCATTACACGTGCACTCACTATTACAACCATAAAAATGTGCCCGGCTGTGTGTTGGACTTGTTATCGCTGCCTGGAACCTCCATCGGGGCGGCTGGCTTGCCAGCAATGCATGCGACTCCCGGGTCCGGGACGTGGAGTTTTAAACCGGGTGCCCATCACAAAGCCGCCCCGCCGCGCCGGCAGCGCCGTTACCAGTGCACTGTTTGGGCGGTCAGCCTTGACGGGCCCGTGTTGGTGTTGTGTGCGGTTGTCTGTGGCGGCCTGGGGCGACGGCCTGGGGCGGTACATTACCGTTTGGTCGGTGTAAATCTCGGCTGCGGGTCGGGCGGTGGACGTTAACTGCCCGCGTGGTCGCCAAACTGTCAGCCTTTCATTAGGGCTGTCCGGACCGGGAGAACGCTTTGTTTGCTGGCGGCGCTACCTGACTAGATCAGGTGGTCACGTTCCATTAGGTTTCCACAGTGTTCCATGGCTTCGGTAGACTACTTAGTGTTCTGACTCCCTATACCGTGTCCGCTGGGCTTTTGTGCCATCTTAACATTTTCCGTGGTTTCCCACCAACCTCTCTTGCGTTTATGGTCCTGTGTCATAGTTGGCGAGATTTCGTACCAATTCCATGACCTCACAGCGCATATTGTCGTCCAGTTTCCATTGCATTTGCCCTCTGTGCTCATTGGCGAACGGCTCTCCAAAGTCTCACCCGGAAGCGCGGTATCTGGTTTGGGGAACGGACCCTGCCCACGGTTCCATGCCAGCTAATGCGAAAGATGCAATCACTCCGTACTTCCGCGCTCATTATGAACTAACGGTGCGATGTTCGACGTCATGTCATGGAACTTGCTTATGTAAAATAATGTCAAAAGAGGTTTTTTAGCAGTATCGTGCATGTTTGTTTGGGTATTCGTGCCTTGTTAGTAATTCACATATCTGCATGTAAATCTTCTGCTGATCGTGGGACTGCATTTACTGTGTACACTCATCGTGAAGTGTTTTGTGCTTGCTTGTCCTTTGACGGAAAGGTGCCGAATGTTCGTCATCCTCAGATCTTAGTATCTACATATATACCTACTGGGTGAACGATGTGCATGGACTCAACATACTCTGGAACCAAGGGCGTTTCCAGAGTGCAAAGGAATTTCCTTTTCATGTACCTACCCAGTCTGCAGGAGGTCTGTTAGTGTCACGGTCATATCTTCGTTACTTTTCCTGTGTCGTGAAAAGCCCTGTTATCGTCAGTATCAGTGGTGTCTCATTATATACTTCCCCATGTGGGCACGTAGATGCCACGGTGTTAACACGCTTGAAGTACCACTTGCTCTGCATGTCGTACATTTTGAAAGCAGATATCGGTCACAAAGACTTGTTGGACATAAATGCCGTCTCGGGCGGCGGTAGATCTTTCCGAGTCGGCTGTCTCCGTTTTACATGAGCTGCGGCGCGTGGCGGGCCGAGCCGCGACGTTCCTGTGACGGTGGGCTCTGTCTGCATACCGCCGTCTCGCTGAGCGAGCATGGACAAACGCATTCCAGCGGCTCTCTGCCGAGCGCGTCATCGGTGGCACAACACGATTTCGTCGCCCCAGCGCGCCCCTGGAACGTGATTGTGGGTGAGCAGAGTCACTGGAATAGCCCGAGTCAAAGAGGAGCAACGTTCGAGTCATGGATACTCGAGGAGAGGAGCGCCCGAGTCGTGACTCGAGTAGTGGAGCATCCGGGTCGTGCAGACCCAAGTGCAGAAGCACACGGCTCATTAGGCCTGGAGAAGAGAAGCACAAGAGTCATCCGCACTCGAGTCGATTTAAACCGGCTTTCTGACGGCCGACACACCCATGTCTGAGCTCAGGAACTGCGAGCTGATGAAGAGGGTGACATTGAAGCATCTGCCACAAATGAGTGAGGATGCTATTGCTGACCCCATTCCCGGACCGTGAAGAGGTTGCTACCCTCTGCTCCTGACGGCTGATGTGATGACGAGAGAAGGCTAGGTCGCTGCCCGTTGGATCTCGGCAGCTGTACCTCAGGATCTGCCTGCGGGCACGTCACATCTGCAACTGATTGGAACCCATTGCCAAATGCAATTCATGACTGTTTCGCTTAAGGTGGGACGGTGATGTAATCCTGTTATCAGTGCCTCGTAAGTAGCCTGCCTTATTACATGATCCCGGCATTCACAGCCGGATGTGGTCAGCTTTGTAAGTCGTGTATGCAAATGAAGTTCGGTTTTCCAGACACGCTTGCATAAACATTCTGATGGAATGACATGGCTCTTTTGTATGTGAAATGTTGGAATGACATGGCTTCTTTGTGTGCGGATTTTTTTATGTGACGGAATCTTAGCATTGTTGAATGACCACGATTTGCGATGATGAGTATTTCGTGATGAAATTAAAATTTAATTTCTGCTCATTAGGGAATTTGTCTTTGTTTGTGTGTTGTTTAATTGGGTTTTACAGTTTTTAGACGACCGGCCATTGAGCTGGGCTCTGCCCTGACACAATGTTACCTGACCATGTGTTCCGGCACAGGGATCCCATGGTCTGTTACATGCTGTACCCTGACCTGACCCCGTCTGCCAATGAGAGCTCCTTAGGCGGCTTCTATAAGCAGCACTGCTCTGACCTGGCCTGACCTATGTGCCGGCAGAGCGCTCACAGGTGGTTCGTTATGAGCCGCACTGACCTGACCTGACCTGACCTGATCTGGCTCTGTGGTTCCGGTAGTGCGCTCCCAGGCGGCCTGCTATGAGCCGCTCTGACCTGACCCGACCTGACCTTGCCTGACCTAACCTGACCTGACTCTGTGTGTTCCTGCAGAGCGCTCCCAGGCGGCCTGCTATGAGCCGCGCCGGAGGCAGCGGGTCGTGCACCTGTCATGCGCCCCAGAGCGGTGTCCCCTGTGGCCCGCTGTGCTGAACCCCTCTGTGACGGCCGGCGCTATGTGGCCGTCCAGCTACTGACCCGGCAGAAGCTCTATTTCTCCGTCGATGTGAGTATTATGGGCACATTAGCGGGTGTCACTGAGGGATATAAGGGGCGTACTGATCGCGGAGAGGACTGTCACAGTGTCACATGCTACTGCGTCCGAAGGTTGTGTGGTATAGGGTACTGTGGGTGACACGGTGGTCATATTATCTCAACTGCTTACATGATCACGTTACCACGCAACTGCCCGAAACATGACATTTTGCGTTAATCTCTAGTCGCTGTCACAAAAATTTAGGCTTTGTGAAAAAGCCATGGAATAGATGACATGAAATACTGCCTCTATGATTTACGATATCATTCAACTTCTGCACGAAAATGCTCAAAGTATACGGTTTCTCAAATGGACACAAGTATTCCATTGGATATTTTCCGCATTCTGGATTTTAGAGGCCTCTATATTAGGAACATTCCGATGAATGAACTCATCGTGATTGAATGAATGCATGCCTGACCTTTTTCCGATGCAGTCGAGCCTGTCATGCAGCCTGTGTTTCTTGAATCCGCTACTTGCCAATTGAAGAGTTGTGAAAAAATATTATCGCCAACCGCGGTCCGCCCGCGAGGTTCTTGGGCGCCGAGTAGTTTTCACAATCTGTTAATGAAGTTGTGCATATTTCAAATGGCTATGAATTTTTTGTAAGCTTAGCAGCAGCCTAATTATATCGTTATCCATCCATTAAAATATGCATTCAATATAAACGATGCATTCGATGAATGATACTGCTTGGTTCAGGACGAAGTGCTGCTGCTCCTTTGCAGCTTTCAGGTCTTGGTAACGCAACTGGCCCAGATCTCTTGTCTGAGTCGTCTGTCTGAGCCGTACGGGTGCTCCTGACCTTACTCTTCACTGAAGTAGCTGTTCGTTATACCGTGGCATATCCGGGATGTGGCGCCGGAGGCAACTGACGGATCGGAGCTGGTCCGCTAGCCAGCCGGTGCGGTGCGGGGCTGCATAGTGCATAGTTTATAGCTGTTCGCCGCGAACAAGGCTAGCGGGGAGGCGGTGCTGTGCAGTCGGCATTCTGCACATTCCTCACACCTCCCCCGTTCCTGCGGACGAGCGGTGCGGCCACCACGCCGCCAGCAGCCCAACGACCCTCTAATTCATGCTACGTAGTGGTTACTGGCAGATGGGAGGGTGATAACGGTGTGCAGAATTCTCGGCGGGAATCAACCGGCTGACCTGACCTCGGGTCAGAGGCAGAACAGCGCTGATGGGGATCTGGCGCGAAGGCGATCAGAATTCCTCACGTAGCCTGATCTAAGACCTGGCAATAATACCGTCTGGCGTCCACCTTGCCGTTCGGCCTAGGAGGTTCCGTCGGACGCCACTGCCACTCCCATCACCTCACCTCGCCTCACCTCACCCGCTGCCCAATCCACTGCACGGGACCGGCCTTCGTGTGGTGCACAGCCTCTGACACGGTTACCGAGGACAGCGGGAGTGCAGACAACCGGCTGATTGTACCGTGCAGAGAGCGTACAGTGGACGAGAAACGGAGATTCGTTGAGCCGAGTGTGTGCCAAAACCACTAAAGCTAGGATGAGTTAGAAGGGAATATTAGTGTGTACTCCATTTTTGAGTTGTTCAGTCTTGTTTGACCTGAGATGTGCCGGAGATCTAAACAGTGCTTCATCTTCAGATGCTTGTTGGGACTCTCTTTTTGAGCTACCAGTCAGGACATCTCGCCTCCCATCGGGTGCTCGCAGTTCCATCCATCGTCAGAGTCGCTCCGTTGCATCAGAACTGTCGCTGACGGTGACACCTCGGCGCAGCGTCGAACTGAGCTAGACAAACGAGCCGACAGACGGATGAACGGACGGACGAACGGCCCCGACTGGCCGTGCAGTCGAGGGAGCCGCCTCGGCGTTGCACGCTCCACAGTTAGATGACCAGCTCACCTGGCGCGTGCAGGAGCCGCCGCGCCGGCCGCTCACAAAGCACGCTCCTCCGGTATGTGGCCAGAGGGGATATCCGTGCCGGCCGCTCTGGCCGCGCTGACCGTGCTAATATGGCACTGTGACTGTGACAGTGACGGGGGTGTCTCGCACGCCACACCGAGCCACCTCCGCCGCTCGCCGCGGATTACACAGACCGATGAATGGACACCCCACCACTTACTATGCTGTTGCCGTGCCCGGCAAGGGTGTCCGATTCTGCAGGACGGCCCGCGACATCCTGCCGTGTCCAGCGCGGAATGCGGCCGAACGTTCTGATAGATAGCCTTGGTCACGCACATGCGTGCACGAGTGGTAACGGGTAACGGTGCCCTGCGGCCGGTGCCGGACCGTTTGCGGCGGAAACATGGGTCTGCTCCGGTCCGGCTGATCCGATTAGACTTCACGAGGGGAGATAGGCTGTGTCTGTTTGCTTGGAGAACAAACTCTTGGAAGACAACCAACAACAGACACGGGTGCAGGAGGGTATGCCGAGAGGGTACGAGGTTTGTTTGCCGGCGCCGCCCTGTCGCCGGCCAGGTCGACCTGATGACAGACCGGGGCGGCGCCTTTGACTGTCGTGTTGTCTGCGACGGACGGTCCCGCATGTCAGGGTGATAGGTCAAAGCTGTGCCCGTCTTAGATGTGACGGGGTCACATCAACCGTAGACGAGCCGCTTAGTGTTAGGTCAGGTAACCAACAGGCAACATGAGTGCTGATCAGGTCAGGTGATGTGTTGTCTTAGGTATGGAGAGGCCCCGCACAACTGACGTCTTATAGCTCTGGTTGAAAGAACATTGTGTAAGCATTGGTGCATCCACGGACGATGCAAATATTGTTATTTTAAATGGCGAATGAACTTTCAGAATACTCATAAAAACGGACTTTCGAGTTCCATAGCATCTCAACGAAAGTGTACTTTCACATTGTCATGCCCTTGTGGTTCTTGGCCACCATTAATCATAATACACCGTCATAAGCTCACTAAATGGGTACTGTTCGACATGATTCTTCCAGTTTTTGTTCGTTTAGAAATGTCAAGGTGCCCTGTTTGTCAATGTCTTGATTTATTATGGCTGAAGTAATCGTAATCCTGATGATTAATGAGGCATCACTGTGTAAATGATTCGTCGGGGATTCCATTCAAGTTTCTTTCTTCCCAATTTCTTTTTCTGTCCTGATGTTAAATGTCAAGTCTTTCAAACCAAATCACCATGATTACCGGATAATCCATCCTGAATGTTTTTTTTTACCATTGAACGACAACGCTGCAGACACGCCGGATGCAATCTAGTTGAAGATATCTTTTCATCGCCATCGTGCCTCTGTCCTGCAATGCCTACCAATGCTACCAATGCCTACCAATGCTACCAATGCCGGCATCGTATCCGTTTCACCGGAACAAAATACTCTGCATCGTTATAGCAACATACGCTCATACAGCGTCGCGGCCATTTTTGTAGCCGAATCTCATTTGGGACCGCGGTTGAAATTTGTATCGGATTATGATAAATGACACTGTTTTTGGAATGTTGAACACGGGTCATTAGACGGTACCGGGATTTTTTGTGGAAGTGCCGCCGGGTAACAGCGTCGGAGTTTTGATCAATGATCAGTGTCTTTTCGACACAGGGAACCGCCATGCTACCCGTCCCCAAAGGACTGCGTAGAGCACCCGCTGGTTGTGCCCTTTACGTTATACGTTTACTGCAAATAGCTGACGAATAAAGCACCGAGAACCGTCGCGCTCGACCGCGTGATTAACCGTCTCTCTGTCTGTTTTCAGCCCAAGTGTCGTCTGACGGAGCTGTTCACCTGTGTGGCCGAACAGATGTGTCTTCAAGGCATGCAGGACCCCGACCTGTTCGGGCTCGCCGTCGTACTAGGTGAGTTCTCATCTGTTCACATGCTCACCTGTTCAGGAATCGGGGAGCTGATCCGCGTGCTCGCGGCCCTCACGACCATGGATTCCTGACTTGTGGCCTGTTGCCTCAACCGTGATACAGGTTAGATCTGATGCACTTCTGGGCTTGCTAAATGGTTGTGATGAAAATCACGCGCGTGATCCCGATAACTTCGTTAGTCTTTCGTCTCAAGTCAGGATCAGTATGTCCTCTCCTTTCGGCATTATGTATATGCTGGGCATTCCATGCTCATTCCGCATGTTGTCGCCAGGCCTGCGAAGCCGGTTGTGCGTATTTGCTCCTCCACTGATAGGCCTGCTGCCTCTGTTGCCACCCCTACCCCTACCTGTGGCCAAGCTGAGCTACCGACACGATACAAGCCGTTGGGTGAATTCAAACACTAGACGCGGTACCTGGCCGTCCCTGGCGCCGGGAGCGGACGATCAATTACCTTACCCCTGCCGGCAGGGGTAGGGACCGTATAGTTCACGCACGCTCACATACCAATCCATCCCCACTCTTCCCTTCCCTCCCTCGGATTCCCGATGTCACAACAGAAGCCGGTCGGTGGCACGCGGGGTGCGGCGACCCCCGCCCCTCCCGCCCACGCGGCAGGGGGTAACCCTTCCCGGACCGACAGGCGGTCCAGCGTGGTCCCGCGATGGTCCGGCGCGGTCCGCGCGGATGGTCCCCGCGCGCGGGCGCGGCGCCCGGTCAGTGACCTCGGTCGGCTGGGGGCGGGACGGCGGCCGGTCCGGCCCGGCCCGGCCCGGTCCGGTTCAGCCGGTACACAGCACACAGCACACCAGTCAGATGAACCTACCGGCAGGCGCCCAGCCGCGCAGTCGTGGTGGTTTACCAGAGGTTTTGTTTTGTGGGACACTCCCTCTCATCCCTGTCTTTGTGCGGCGCACGTCGTTTGATAAACACGGGCGTCTGCCTGCTGGTTGAACAGTTCACGACGGTTCCCACATTTCGCTGTTCCCATTAGCTTGGTGAAAACTCTGACTGCTAGTGTGCGCTCTTTCTCCCACCCTCCTAATCACAGTCATCAGCGGCTCGCCCGCGGCTCTGCTGTTCCTCGCCTCGCGGTGGCCACGCACACACACACGCACACACTCGTAGATACCCACACACGCACTCTGCCACGGACAGCGGCGTTGGTGTTGGTCCGTGAAACGGCCCTCGGACAATAGTGTCGACGAACGGCGTGCCATGAGGCCTCGGACACAGCCCGCGTCACTGGGACGTTCCGCTCGACGGCGTATGTGGCGCACTCGTGCCGATGACGCCGCGCCAGAGACGATCGCGCCGTGATGGAGACGATCGCGCCGTGATGGAGACAATCGCGCCGCGGCGGTCAGACTGCGCTGGGGATGTCAGGTTGTGTCGTAGATTTCAGATTGATTTGTGACTGCGCTGTGATGGACTAATGAGACTGGAAATTAGTCTTGTCTACCCGTGGGCATTTGCATGGTCTCGTGTCCCCGTGTTTTCGATTCTTCTTTGTCCAAACTTGTGCTCTCCTCCACAAGTGCTAACGTTATCTCGTGTCTCCTTGTTTGTTTTCTAGCTGTTCCAGCTGCCTGCCCTCTAACCTTTTGCTCCTATCCTTCGTTAGCGTTTGCGCTATCTCTCGTCCCAGTGTGTTCAGATGTTCGCTATCTAACCCTTTGCTCTCCTCCTCAGATGGCGAGTACGTGTTTGTCGATCCGGAAAACAAGATCGGCAAATACGCACCCAAGGCGTGGAAAGCCTCGCAGACCGATGTGAGTACACGTGCGCACGTGCCTGCTGCTGTGTGTCTGTCCGTGTGCTCTGATTGGGGATGTTTGCCAGTAGTCCAGAGCTGCTCCATGTTCTACAAGACTGGCTGGTACGACTGTATCAGAGAGGTTGATCAGCTAAACAGCCCAACCTCCTGCCCTCCTTGCTGACCTACCCAAAGCATGCTACCTTGAAAGGAGACTGTTCTGTATGGCTGTTTTTTTTGCTGGGTGGGGGTGGGTCGCGAAATCTATTCTATAACGACAATCGCTGCTGGCGGATTCTGACTGATTTGCGCGTGTAGGGTCACTCAGACGTGCGTTATCTTGTTATGAGTGCCTTATCCATACCATGGCCATTTTCGAACGGCATGGACACAACTTTCACCGTTCTCCGTATCATGTCGGTGGCTGACCTTTTGGCCGACCTTGTGCCTGACATATGCAGCTATCGCCTTATTATTAGATTATTACTATACCTTATTACTCTCTGTAGATTAACTTGAATAGGTAAGCAGACCTAACACTATTGTTCTCTTCACGACGTAAACCATGCAGTACCCAACGGGACGGGTGAAGTGTGTCCGAATCAGCGCGGTGAATAATTCATTAGCTGGTAACTCAACGGCACATGATGATCATTGTCGCCTTGTCGGACAGCGCAGCCTCGGCTCTGACACCTCCGTATGCCGGTTCGGTATCGCTGATCTCGAATTCCGGGCTAACTAAGGCGCCTTGCACCCCGCGGGGTGTACCCGCTGACCTTTTTGTTTGGTATGCTGCTCGTGCGGGTGCTTGTATCTGTGCCATTTATCTGTTCCTGGGGACGCGTGCTAGCAGTTCCCGTGCAGTGAGTGGTAAAATGAGTCGTCCTTAGCTGGTAAATGTCCCCAGATCTGGCGGCGAGTGGCTCTCGTATGGGGATTTTCTACTGGCGACATCGTTCAAAGAATGTGACAGCGCCGGACCAGCCAGTTCGGTCACTAGTCTCAGGTCCGGGGTCGTTCCTCTAATACTGTGCGTGCCTTGTTAGGCTACGTATGACCTAAAGCGGGTAACTCTCTAGCTCCGGAGAGCTCTCGATCGTGACACTCATCCGGGGCTGCGAGATGGAAGGCACGGCTTTCGAATAACTGCAACGCTCGTGGTATAGTGTTCCACCATGCCCGGAATTCGATATCATCATCTTTTTATGCCTAGACTCATGGTTATCGACATTCTTCAGCAGCCATTGGCTCTTTTACTGCCTCAAGCTTCTGTCTCATATCGATGATTTCCTTCACTCAGTTCCATTGTCATTGCTCTCCCATCCATCCACTCTTACAGCCGTGCAGCAACCCTCTAGCAAACCTCTCTCCCTCACGCCAGTCCCTCAATCACTGTACCACAATCTCCTACCTATCCAGCCTCCTCACCGGTCTTCTCTATAGCCTCCGAGGCCGCCGGACGGCCGTTGTGGCCTCACCTACCTCGGCTGGCCGGTCCCGGTACATTCCAGGCGTCTGACATCAGGCCGGCAATGCGGCGGGTCGGGCTGGGAGCTGGGTGGGCTGGAGTAGACAGGAAACGATTGGTGAGACAGTGATACCTTCTTGGGGAGGCTAGAGTCTTCCATGAGACAGGAGACGATTGGTGGGGCAGTGATACTGATGTGAGCTGGAGTTGGCAGCGAGATAGGAAGCGATGGGTAAGACAGTGTTACTGGTGGTAACGCCTAGGCCCAGGTCATCCCCAGTTGAGTGTTCGTCTGGAGCCACGTGCTTGAACGATGGCCGAGGCAGAGTGTGTGGGCGCAGTCTGACCAGCAGGACGTATTCAGGTAGCTAACTTGGCCAGCCTATGCCTCTATATCTCCTTCACCTGGGTCCAGACTTCCCGTTGCATATGCCGTGACCTCCCTTCCCCTCCCCTGCCGTCTACCTGGCCTCTCGTGGCTGACCCACAGCCAGACTGCCCTCCCAAGACTGCCTGTTCCGCTCACCCTCCCTCCCTCCCCCCCCCCCCCACCGACCGGCGCTCCTCGTGCGGATGCCTGCATGGGCCGGCTCGGCAGCCGGGCCGACCGCCGATTTGCATTCTGTGAAGAGGCGGCGGGCTGGCCGTCCGCCTGGCAGCGGCTATTCGGGCGGGCGGTGGGCTGCCTGCATACGGCATAGCTGGGCGGTGTACCGAGCGGTGGCCGAGCGGTGAGCCGAGCGGTGAGCCGAGCGGTGGCCGAGCGCAGCCCGCGCCGGCCCGCCGCGGCTGACCCCGATCTGGCCGGCCGGTCCGCTGACCTTGGTATGCTGAGGCTGCGGACGCCGAGCTGGAGCTGGAGGCTGAGAGCTGGAGGCTGCGGCTGGAGCTGGAGTTGAGGCTGCGGACGCCGAGCTGGAGGCTAAGAGCTGGAGCTGGAGGCTGAGAGCTGGAGGCTGAGAGCTGGAGCTGGAACTGGATGTGGAGGCCGAGACTGAGGCTAGGGCCAGTGTTAAGCTATGGCTACGACGAGGGCTAGAGCTGGAGATGAGTTTGGGCCTGGGTATGCGACTATGGCTGCGGCGGGGGTTCGGTGGCGAGGCTATGTGGCAGCAGTTGCATTCCATCTGTAACACCTACACGTTTTGTGTCCGAACCACTCATCCCCTACACATTTGTGATTCAGACATACGCGGAAAGTAATTGTTCGCGAAGTTAATGTGTCGTTCGCCATTCTGACCCAAACCGTTCTTTTTTTCAGGGCCTGGACAGCTCCAGGGAACCTCTTCTTCAGTTCAGCCTCCGCGTCAAGTTCTACGTCGAATGTCATTTTCTGCTAAGGTATGTTCGTCGCTGATTACCGTATAGTCAGACTCATCTGTTTCATTCCGGGCTGCCGGAACCCGTTGTGCCCACAGAGACCGCCGCCGTGCCGCGCTGTTCGCCCCCTTTGTGGCCTCCCCGCTGCCGATGCCGGCTAAGATAGGCGGCTCCGTTCCGTTTGCGGTCGCTGGCGGCATCCAGTGTTCGTCTGTAGCGGTTCGCCTGTGGTCGGCTACCATCTCGATATTTTTATCGAGCCGACAGCCTCAAAGCAGCACTCCTTAGCCGAACGGAAATATCTCATTGCCGAAAAAGTCGTGGCGTGCGCAGTTTTCCATGTTCTGACGGTGGCCGCACCATAAATTGGTTGATGTCTGGACGATGGAGCGGACCGCGACTCGAATTGACGTGCTGATCGTGACGCGGGCCCCCGTTCAGGGCTGTTGTACGATGAATGCGGGGTGTGTCCGCGACTGGCTCACCACCGGCACGCAATACCGCCACTTATTTGTCGATAAGGGGTTCGAAACGACTTAAAGTCCATCCTGGATTGGCTCGTATTGTGCTTAGGTCCGGTATTCTGGTATTTCCGATAGGCGTTATCACAAGTGTATTCGCGGCCATTGGGGCGACGTAAGAAAAGAAGAAAACAACTGGCCCCAAGAACTTTAAATTATCAGTTAGCATGCACCTTTTCCTTGATATGTAGAGAATTTACCATTAATTGTTAGAGAAAATTGCATTTAAAATCTTCCATTTATGCTTTTTTTCATCGTTTGCACAGTATGTTCTTTTACTAAGCTAGAAACACTAATTAGAAATAGTTCCTGCATCATCAAGAACAATAGGGAAGGCTTGAAGTGAATACAATAATCTAAACGGTTTTGTAATCCATGTGAAGACACTTCTAAAATTGCCTGTAGAAATATTAAAGGCAAAAGTTCAACTTTTTCACAAGACGGATGGCTATAAACCTATTCAACGTGTGACAACTCAGCCGGTATTTCGTCGCCTACAGCCCAGCTTTCCCTAGTGACCGATAGAGGCGCTGCTATCGATGTCCGCCCGTGCCGCCTAACGTCACCGGCGGATTTGGAACCGTGAATTTTCACGAGCCCCCCAATAATCCGGTGTGAGAACTCAAGTGTTCATGTTCCGTATCGACCCTGAATGCCGGTTGCCCTTTTCATTTGCAAACCACGTGAATAACTCTGTGTAATTTTATGTTGATGCAGCCACCCATTCCGGCACTGTCTCACCCTCACTTTCCCAGCTATGAATACCACAACCATCGTGTTAATTGCGTGTGACCTTCATGTACCTCATGTGTGACCCCTGTACGACCCCAGCGTGACCCGGCCGACCCTGTGCGACCCCGGCGTCTGATCTGACCTCTGCTCGTCGTCAGGGACCCGGTGAGTCGCCACCACTACTACCTGCAGCTGCGGGAGAACGTGCTGGTGCACCGGCAGTCGGCCTGCAGTCAGGAGGGATGGCTGCTGCTCGCCGGATGGGCGCTCCAGGCGGACATGGGCAACTATCCTGAGCACGCGTCGGCCGCGTACTTCCAGCCGACAGAGTACTTCCCCAAATGGGTGCGTATGCGATGAAGTCAAGACGGAAACGGGACGGGTTTTATGTCATGTGTTAATTGTGTTTTATCCCGATTGTGTTTAATGGTCAGCAATACTTCATCCCAACGACTTCCTTAGGCCTTATCTTTTAGATGATAAGTTACTAGCTAACTGCCCATTCGTTTTTGACCTGAAAAGGATTGCTAAAGATGTTATCCGAAAGATAGTGAACCGCGCTCAGGAACTATATGCGGTCAGGCTGGTCGGGATGGGTTTATGATGGTCTGAGCATTCTCAGTGATATCCTCTGGTCACGAGGGCCACGATCTCGTCCCTGAGGAATGCACAACATCCCTCCCCTCTACCTTGTAACTGGTCCCGTTACGTTTTATTATTCCGACAACTCAACGGCACCGATCACCTTAGACATAATTCACTTATGAATTGAATGCGGCAGTGAGTTATCATAAATGCAGCTGGATGGCGCATAGCCCATTTGGGGAAGTGCACTGTATGATTAATCGACGACTTACGGTTCGCGTTGTTAGGTGCATATATTGGAAAGATAGTCGAGTGGTACGCCCATATGGGGCGACGTTTTCGAAAGTATCAAGTGTCCAGCGATCCGCGAAGGTCATGGAAGAGTTGCGGACCTTCACTGAGTGTGGTAATTGAGTTTCCCTGGAGGTGGTCGACCGCCGCGCCCAGCGAGCGTTCAGGCGGGGCTGGGCGCGCGTGCGCCAATCAGGGCCGCCCTCGGCGGGTCAGCCGGGTCGCCGATGACGTCACACAGTGCTCCTGCGCTAATTGCGGCCGCTCGGCTCTGGGAAGGGCTGGTTCTCGGTGGCAGGAGCGGCACGGAGGCACCGTCAGGGGTACTTGTGGCTGGCTGCCGTGGTGTGAAGGGCTGCCCGGGAAGGGAACGATGGGAGGGGAGTGCGCCGCTCCCAGGGCGGTAGAACGCTCCCAGACGGCCGGGGGGCCGGGTCACGGGGTCGCCGTGTGAGGTTTACAGCAGGCGCCACTCCCGGCAGCGAGGCGCCTCGGGTGGGCAGACTAAGCTCGCCACGCAACTCAGAGAGATGGGAGAGAGAATGTGCAGACGTGACGCGTCAGTCTATGTGACGTGACTAGTCAGCCGGCCTGGAATGTAACGTGGGCGCACCTGTGACGCACGCGGAACAGGACCGACCGGCAGTGTGTTATACGATTCAGGATGTGGAAATCAGGAAGGGAGTCCCCTCACGAAGGATTCTCGTTTACTCCATCAGCGCGATCCTCTTAGCATTCCTCGAGCAATGTGCAACTCCTCAGATCCGTTGGTTCATCTTCCCAATCAGATTTCGGTCGGGAAATTTCGCTCCGTCATTTGCGTAGCATGCAACATTCCGCTTGCGGTTAATTCGCTAGGCTGTGACTGTACTCGTTTCTCCCTTCACTGTTACCCTCTGAGCCTTCTAGCTGAAGTAATGCTCATGCATTTGTATCCAGACCTCTTACCATTCTCCGATGCGCTCGTATTCTGTGAATTGTTTTACTAATAAATGCATATCACCTTATGACGAGCCCCCTGTCATTTCGCACATTCCCCATTGTCAACTTCTGACCTCTTCCCTTTCTCGGCAGCTGATCGCTCGGCTGGGTGTGGACGCCATTCTGAGCGCCATGCCGGCTGTGCACCGCGAGAACGCCAACATGGCTGCGGGCGAGGCCGAGATGGCCTACATTCGGGAGGCGAGCTCCATGGAGGCGCCTCACAACCTGCACATCTACCGACTGAAGCGACGAAAGTCGGATACGAACGGCAGTGTGCTGCTCGGCATCTGTCCGAATGGCATCGAACTGTATCAGGTGAGGAAGGACGCCCGGAAAGGGTGGGAAAAGGAAAGGGTGGGTTAGGATAAGTAAGACACATAGGGTGGTGGACAGAACATTGATCGGTTACACGCAGGTGGGATGGGACGGACGGGTTCAGAAGGGGTAGTACTAAAGTGATACAAAGGCAAGAAAGTCATAGGTTTGTACGTAAACAGATTTTATACATCTTTGGTGGTGCTAAGATTGCTGATTAGAGCCAGTGTGTCATGCGAATCAGCGGTCAGTATCAAAGTTGCCTACTACTTAGCAGCAAGCTTTGTTGAGCCACAGGTATGGCAGTCGCAGATGCCGTTTCGATGACTTGGTCGCAGTTTTCCTACCTCACCCTGCCTTGCGACAATCCTGTGGTGGCCCTGCCTCCCAAGGAACGTAACAAGCCAAGAAAAGGTCATCGTTGTTGGCTTGAGAGATAGGCCATGAGTATATACCGCTCGGTATATGTATATCATTGTGGCTTTTGTGTTTATGTTTCGTTGACTTGGGAGTGCCCCGCGGTATCGAGCGGGCCATCGCGTGTTTTCACGCGGCCAGACCGACTTCAAAGCGCTGGGCCGGCGCGGCTCGGCCCGCTGGAGGTTTTCTGGCCGCCGCGAGGGTAGCGGCAGCGGCGGGCCTGCTCAGCGTCCACTTTCCTCGTCTCTTTGGTGACTCATTGCCCGACACTGGGTGACCTGGTATCGCGCTCCGGCGAATATTATTCCGACTCGCGTGCAAAAATCACCTGCAACTCACCGAGAGCGCTGCCGACAAAAGTGCGGTGAAATGTCGGCGCGATTCACCGTGTGAGCACAATGTTGGAGTGCTGGTTTTGCTGCACGCAGCCCGGCAGGACATCGCCCGCAACCAGTTACCTGCGTGCGGCGAAACCCGACCTGGCCTGACACAAATCCAGTGCCGCTGCTACCTCACTGCAGAGCTGCGACCGATACTGACCGACTCCTCTCTGACCCATCCCTGGAAGTGCCGTCCGCTGGCCCATTGGTCGGCCGAACCCGCTGCCTCGCATGCCTTTCGATCTAGTCAGCCAGCTGTATCTCCGAATCGATCTGAACAAAAACCTGTCCCCGACCGGCCGGCTGGCCACACTGCATTCCAAACCTGCCTCCGCGCCGCCGCCGCCGCCGCCGCGCCGGTCGTGGGGTCTGTGGACCAAGCGCCGGCCGCCAGACTGGGCCTCTGCCAGCTCTGCCGTGTAGGTAACGTGGCTTTGGCACCGAGCCGAGCCCCCGGGGCTGTCTGCTCAGTTTGTGAAGGAGGGCAATGACGTACACATAAACTCGAGTTGATGAATTGCCCGAAGAAGTATATGTCTACACTGGACAACGAGTGAGCCAACTTCGCTTGAGTTCGCCATACCTTACCACGTTTCATTCGCTCACCCCTTGGAGGGCCTCACGGTACTCGTGCCACGCCCACCAACATCTATCAGACAGTCTCTCCGACCGGCCGGCCGGCGGCCGCTCCGTCTGCCTTGAGCCAAGAGGCGGCCGAGAGGCGGTCGCGGCCGCGCGGCGGAGTATAGGAGTGCCTCGGACCGGCCGGCCGGCCCGGCGGCGCTGGCTGCTCCCATTCCGGGCGGAGGCAGCAGCGACCAGCGCGTGCCATCCGGGTCAGCCGGCGTGCCGGTGACGTCACGTACCTGGCCCAGCGGCCGGCAGCGCTGTGCTGGTCGGAGCTGGGGTTCTTGGAAGGACGATAGCATGGTGATGCTTTGTGAGAATATGCGAGGATGAAAAAACAAGATGCTCTTGCCAGTGGCTTGAACACGACGTTAATTGCGCCTAAACGCAGCTTGGATTCTAGTAGGCATACATACCTATTGATGCTATGGAAATTCATTGGCAAGAACCACGAGTCTCGCACTGCAGTCTCCCGAAGACGGGTTGGTGCTACTTTCTTGTTCACTGTCGCAGTCTCTGAGTTATCGCGCACTCGGGCGTTACAGTCTCCCGTCTTGGCTGGCCTCCTCGGTGGTCAGGACGGCCGTCCTTCGTCCCTCGGTCCCTGTCGGGCAGTTCCCCACATGACTCGCTCCGGCGGTGGTCACACCGCAATTATCAGCGCGTTTCCGGCGCACTGTCTCTAATGATGCGGCCAGGAATGCGGCCGAAGTCGCTTTGTCCTCTGTCCAGAGTCGCCGCCCGCGGGAGGGGGAGGGGAGAGAGGGAGGTGACTCGAGATCAGCAGGGTCACCGGAGGTCGTCCTGTGATCGTCGCGCGTCCACGGATGGCGACAAGCGTCTGCGTGCTTGGGCTGCTTTCACTGAGAGAGTGTGTTGGCGAAGGGAGCTAGTACAGAGCATCTAGAGCGAATGTAATAGTGTGTGCGCCATGACGCAATGTCGAGCATCGCCGCCGGCGTAATGAGGTCACAGGGTCACCGAGGAGTGACAGCCGGGGTCGGAATTTCTCCAGATGTGGCGAGATTACGGTGTAAAATCCAGATCGTGACGTTCGGTGGAAGCTGCACGGTTTTCATTGTTCAATGTTTGACGGCCATTGTTGAGCGACGGGGAATGTTCTGGCGCAGCGGTAAAATGTCTGACCAGCTCGATTGAATGAATGGGTGCAGTATATCGTACACAAATTTTCCTGATTGTGTAGACCAACATGGGACATCTTTGTTGCAGGAGGAGAGGAACAACAGTCGGAAATTGATGGCCTCCTTCGTGTGGACCAACATCAGCAAACTCAGCTTCGAGGTAAGTTGGTACCGGCGGCGACTGCATGTAGACAGTGTGTAAAACATCTGGTATTCTCTTATCGAAAGTATTACTCACCCCAACACAGATGTTATCCTTGAATGAATATCTTTATTAGAGCCATGCTGCATTGATATGAAGTATTTGCCTCCTTATCGGGGAAATATTTCCATGGACATGTTTTTGAAGGAGCTTAGATCAGCCGTGCTGCGGCTGGCTGGCCAGATTTCCTGTGCGATAGCCTATGGCGGCTGCAGACGATGTGGTACACCCCTGACCGGCTGTGTCGGCAGGGTACGGTCCGAGACTCGCCGTGAGGCCCCACTGGACGCGGCATACCATCGCGCTGACACCGCCGCCGCGGCCAAATTGGCGCTGAATTGTTGCGGTCGGGGTGTTTATTTTTATCGGGTTGTCTCGTCTCACGATAAGCCCGTTTGTTGGGGGAATCTCGGAGCTCAGCCTTGTCACCGCGGTGATATAAGTCAGCTTCATTGTTGAGCCGGACGGCTTTGGAATCACTGTGCCCATACTCCTTAGCCATTCTTCGCTCTCTGCGGGCTTAGTTCCGTATATGCTGAGCCGCATTTGTTTGGACTTGCTACCAAACTATCCTGTTTGTAACACCGAGTAACGAGCAGTGGGGTCGTCTTTCATAATAAAGAGCGCTAGGTCGTTTCCCATGCCCCGGCCCCTGTTGGTCAGTCTAGCGCCGTGAGGTAGCCACCCCGGGGTCTAGTTATTCTTGCAAACGACGCTGTTGTGAAGTAAAATATGCCGGCGTTGGATTGGAGGGGCGGCCGAGGGCGCGGTCCGACCGCAGACCTGGTCCCGGTCCCAGCCTCGGTCTTGGTCTGGTCCTGGTCTTGGTCCCCGGCCAGTGACCGTCGGCCCGGCTGTTCCGGACCATATAGCTGCTGTGCACTGAGGGCATACTAACCATGGACCATATGATAGCTCCTGGAATGCCGATATGATTTCTTGGGCAGTGACAAGATACGTTTGGGAAAGTATGTTCCATGGTGAAAGTAGATATATTTTACATAAGTAGCATACTCTTACAAGGCAGCTGGTCGGAGGGATAGCCTAAATAATTCGACATCCTAATTCCCTCCTTGGAGTGCCAGACGACGCTTAGCGCTCATATTTAATGTCTCTAGTCTCTTGTTACTTTGGCGTTTGTACACGCTATAATCGCGTGTCTCCACACCCATGTGACGACACGTTCCAGCTTCTCACCTGCTAATGACGTGTTCACATCACGACCATGTGACGTGCTCACATCACGTGTGCTGAACAACTCTCTCGTTTTCCTTGCCACACGCGGATCATGAATTCCAGCCGCAATGCAATGTGCTCGAGTCCAGGATTGCATAGAGGATGGTTATGTGAAGATTGAGCGCAAAGTGATCTCGATGATAGATGATCTTTCGAGTGATCTTCCGTCCGGTCGCCGGTAGTCCACTTTCTTCCGTACCGATGGGATGGATGGAACGCGGGCCGCCATTTCACCGGACTGGCGGCGCCTAGTGATCGCGATCTCGCCCAAATAGCTGGAGATCGGGCCACATTCCGGCCGAGCTCCGCAGGCCGGCATCGTCCGCCGTCACTGATGACGTCTGCGATGACGCTCTGTGATGACGTCCGGTGTCCTTTGATGACAATCTGTTTAGGTTTAGTTTCACTCAAATTCGTCTGCCTTTATGATGGCTATGGCCTATGGTATCTTTCTTGACACTTCTTTTGCAACTGTCTGCCATGATCCATGTAGCGTGGCAATCCAACATTCCACAGCTCGCTGCTACCTAGCGCTCGTATTCACCTCTGTTCCCCCGTCCTTCTCCCCCGTTTTTTCCTTCCTCTGCGCCATTTCCCGTCCGCTCCTTCCCACAGCTCTCCGTCTCCTTCCTTTCTCCTCCCCCCCTTTCTTACTCCCCTCGGTCGTCGCCGACTGGCGGTGATTACCGCGCGCACTGTATCGTCTTCAATGAGCCGTGCTGCCACCGGGCTTTTCACATACCGGCCGGCCAGCCGAGCGTGTCATTGTCCCTCCTCCCTCTCTCCCTCCCCTCTCCCTCCTCCCCCACCCCCACCGCCGCTCCGCCGCCGCGGCGCACCTGCCATCGACAGCGGCGGCGACGGCGGCGTCTTGGGCGCCCTCTGTCGGATGGTCCACGCCCGGCGGCGGAAACTGGCCGAGCTGAGGAATTTACCCGACGGCGCCGGACCGTGACGTCAGCGTCACGTCACGCCGTGTGACGTCATGGAGCCGTGACTGGGAGCGGTGCGCTGGGTACCGTGTACTCTGACTTGGTGTACTAGCTAGCTGGCTGGACGAGCGCAGGTGTAGGGTCAAGATATGTAGTGACGATGGGAATGCCTCAAATCATGGTCGGTGAGCTGCGGGGTTCACCACTGACATTCCGGAGGAGTTGACGGGAACTCACCGATGCTGACTGGATGCAGGGGACAAACATGGGCTGGGCTGAGTTCCGGGATTCTTTGACGCGATTCCGTCGTAGCCTCCCGTGCCGGCCGGCCAGCGGCCCGGAGCGCCGTGCGTGGGGAGGATTTCGACCGCGCTCCGCCGCCGCGCCGCCGGCCGCGGTAACCTTGCTTTCTCCAGCAGGATGCTGTTGTTCCATTTCAGGCGCGGCACCGGCCGAGCAAAAACGCGCGTGCCAGGCGGGGCGGGAGGCGTCCGGGCGCAGGGAGGGTCACGGTGCCCTGTCAGAGCCCCGCTGAGTGCGGCCGCCCGGGTGACAGCGCTGAAACTGTCCCTCAGTGGGGGTCCGGCCAGGACAGAGGGTGTGACAGCGGACCGGCCGCGGCGCTGAGCGCACGAGAGATTGATGTCCTGCTGGGACAGACCCCAGATGCGACTAATTTACCTTGTGGGCCCAGCTCGACCGCGAGGGAGGGACGGTTGTATTGTGTAGGCTGTTCTCGGGTCAGAGGGCTGACGGGTAGGATCGATGACTGTTGGTGACACATACTGTCGTGAGTCCAGCTTGCGTCCGGCCTGGCTCACTGCGGAATGCGGCGTCCACCTCCAACGTTCCAAACCTCCGCCGGAATCCGTCTCCGTCGGAATCCGGCGACCCATAAACCACCGGTCGATTGTGCAAGGGGCCGGCGACCGGCGCTCGCCGCGCGCGCAGTGTCGTAACGCGCGCCCATGCCCGTTGCGCCACCAGCCAGCTCGCCGACTATGCCTGACACGCTGTCAGTCACGCCGGCAGACCTGTCGATGACCCCGCTCACCTCCCGCCGTTTGCTTTCAGAAAAAGAAGTTTGAGATCAGCGCGCTGACGCAGAAGTTTACGTTCTACACCAACAACGATGAGAAGTCGAAGCACCTGTTTCACCTCTGCAAGCAGATTCATCTGTTCACTCAGTCGGTGAAGGAGCGGCTGGCGGCGCTGAGGCAGAGGACGGAGGATGGTGAGTATCCCCTCCCTCTTTCCGTTCACTGGTGACCCGTCGAATCCTTTCTATTGACGATTCCCTAGCAACAAGTAGAGCCTAGGCCCTAGAGGGTCGACAACCTCGGGTAGACTGTCAACACCAGGGTCGAATATCGCGTCCGATATTCCTCTCTTTATCTCCGGTCGAATCTCGACACCACAGGACGGCCATTCTTCTTCGGAGTCTCACTGTTCTCCGTCTCAGTCGGCCTATCCGACCCCAGATCAGCTCTTCGGAGTGTGTCTGACCCTCGGCCGTCCTCCATCTAACCCTATCTGATCCTTCTTATACAGGGCGCCTGTCCGCATGCCGTCCCTCTTAGCCTTCTCCCTTCTGAGGGACGAAGGCTGAGGAACGACATGCGCCATGTCCCTTCGTGCACCATAAGTCCTTACCTGTCCCTCGCAGTCCGCATGCAGAGCCGCCCCTCCCTTTAGGGTTACTTAAAGTCCCTTATAGATGACCGCAAGGAGATCAAGATCCTCCATGCCTCACATAGCTCCACCATCATCCCCGTCCCTCACAGGGGTCTCCTCCTCTTTCATCCCTCGCGCTAACCCCTCCCTCACTCCCCCCGTGTCCGGCCCGCGGCCTTGTCCTCCGCGCGGCTCTGACGGATGCTGATGGACGCCGGTGTTTGTGCCCGGCGTTTTTCGGTGTTTGTGCGTGGCCGATCCGCGATTTAATGAGGCATTGTGCGGCGCGGAGCGAAACATTCCAGCCGCGGCTACTGTGCGAGGCTGGGTGAGAGTGACAGCTCCCCTCCCCTCCCCTCCCTGACTGTGGGATGGACGAGCCGAGGCGTTACAGTGAATCTGTTTCCGATGTCTTTGATACTGCGGTTAGTATAAAGTTATTTTTATCGTCGCGAACGTTTTGAATGGCGTCGGTGAGAATCAAGTTCTGATGGAAGCAGTGCACTTTTGTGCGAACATTTTTACCCGGTGTCATCGTATATTTATAGCCTGGCGATTGGCGGTTTCAGCATTTCACTGGAACGCGGCCCAGTGTGGGAGCGGACAGGAATTTCCAGCCCGGTCGTGACGCGGGGGCAATTCAAGAGTTGGGTGGCGTGAGTCGCCGCCTGGGCTGTGTCCGCCTTCACCGGACAGCGGCGCTTCTTGACACGACGGGCCGTGGGAGCCTGCTGCTGCCGCCCCCGAGATAGAGATCGAGCTTCCCCTGTCGTCCGACCGACCGGCAGTGGGCTGCGCTCATCATAGGCGACGGAGACGGGGTCACTGCTGTCTTCTCCTCTCTGTCTTTTCTGTTCTCCATGCTGAGTGGTGACTTCTGAAAACGTTTGAGGAGCACTATCCAATGATGAAGCGGGTACGCTGGCCCTGCACGCGTGCTCTCTACACGCCCCACACGCCCCGGGACAGACAGTCCCGAGTTTTACACCCGGATGGACAGTGTGAGGTTCTCAGAACGGATGGCCTCCAGCGCTGTTGCCGGTGGAATATTCCAACCAGCATGAGAAGCAACTACCTGCGTGGTATGGTGCGTCCGTAAAACACGGACAATGTGAAAAATATCCGCCGAAGAGTCTGCGGAGGAAAAATGATGTTTTTTTGTAGAAATGGTGAGTCAGTGCTGTTGATGACTGATATAAGTTTCACTAAATTGGGGAAAGTGTGTAGTATGAATGGAAGTTGACCAATAAAGAGCTGTCACACATTTGAAATTTCCAGCACCAGCGTAATGTCTGGAACTAGGGGTACCTACTTCCTGAGGAGTGTGTCCGGAATGCCCACCCGTGACTCACAGCACAAATGTGGGCGGCAAAACATTCAGTTACACGATAGGTTATCGTGTTTGCTCACCTGATATGTCCTGGTGTAGCTATACGGTTTTCCCCGTTGGTATTAAAACGGGTGTATTGAATCGTCCAAAGTCGCTAGGCTATTGCGGATGCATTAATTCCGATGCTTCCTCATTTCCTTGTCCTTCATCCATTCCTTTAAGGCGGCAATTTCGGTGTCGTCGTATCACCTTCATCGTATGGAAGGTGCCAATGATACCGCCTCGTTTTTATCTTAGTTTCTTTTTTCTTGGCGGCTCGTTGAGGCTCGTATGTTGTTGCCGGTCCTCGCATTTTTTTTTTTTTTTTTTGTATCGTGCCTACTACAAGTCCTATGGCCGTGTTGTGTGACTAAGTACGCTTCTATTGAATTCCATCCACACTAACCTGCCTTCAGCCACTTGTGCCTCAGGACAGCCTTAGCCCCTCCCCCTCCCTCCCCCCCCCCCCCCCCAGGTCCACCCTGCTCCGGCCCCAGACCCTATCCACATTCTCACCACCTCTTGTTGGCCTCACCGCTGCCGGGATCGCCGATCCTGGCTCAGAAGTCACGCGAGGGATTCGGCCGAGGCACCTGCTGTGAGTGCCGTCAGTTAGGTCCGGAGCTGGCTCGAACTTTTATCCTGAGCTTGAGCTCTGTCCTTAGATGCAGTCGTTGTCCTAAGCTTCCGCTATGTTCTGATCTGAACCAACGGTCAGTAATTCTCTTTGTTGACTGGTATGGGAAGGAAGGCATCACTGCCGACCATGTCTCCCTGGGCGGAGGTCAGGTCAGGATCAGTATGTCCAGCGCACGTCAGTGACCCTCCGCTGCTCGGAGCTCGCTGCCCGAGTGGCCCGAGCCGGCCCGAGTCCGACCCGGGCCCGACCGGACCGGGATTTCAGCCGAGCCCAGGGTATTAGCCGCAGCTTACCTGACCATCTGCCCGAGCGCAGCCGGCTCAGCTCATGCTTTGACGTGCTTCTCTGAAGGAGAATGCATTCGAAGGAATGTGGTCTCGGGTGTAATCGCCTTGTGATTGTTAAGCTGGTTGAATTTCTGCTCGTGCAGTGACTTTGACTGTTTCCTTGTCGTGACTTAGCGGAGAAGTAGTTAGGAAGGTACTGCTATGCAGGACTTATTTTGGGTGTATTCACCTGTCGTATAGGGAGATGTTCTAACCTCATTCAAACTGTCTCGACCTGACCTGATATGATCTTATCTCATCTTACCTGTTGTGATCTTCCCTGATCTAGCCTGATGTGCTCTGATGTGGGCTCATCTGACCTGTTGTGTCATCTGTGTCCGGCAGAACGGCGAAGTCTTGGGGGCTCTCTGCAGTACACAGGAGGCCTACACTCGGGCTGGGAGTACCTGCACAAGTCCGGCAAGAGCATTGACCAGCGTGTCTCGGTCATCTCCAACACGTCCTCCAACACGACGTCCGGCATCGTCTCCGACCGCACCGTTCAGAGCCTGGACGAGAGCGACGGTGAGTCTTGACGGACGACGTTGACCGTCTGCCTTGGCTGAGCGCCTGAGCTGCTCTGATGGCATATTCAATAACGATTGAAAAATGTTTAAAATCGGGGCTAAAACGTGATCCGTGACATAGCTTAGCCACCTCAAGGTGTTGTTTGTAAGATTTTTGTTTGTCAGAGCATCCGTGGATTGTTATACCTACCATGCATACCATGCGTGGTTAAAGTCTCAAGGAACATGGAATAGCTGCATGTTCTCTGTTCACTCTCAACAGTCAACTGCACGGTATTTCCGAGATGTCTTCATCACCCGGCATCCTGCCTGCCTGCGTGCACGCCTGTCTTCTTTCCTGCCCCGTCTGCCTACATTCCTGTCTGCCTGCCTGTCTTTGTGCCTGTCCTGCGCTGTCTGTCCGGTCCGTCTCCCTTTCCTGAGCGCCCTGACTCGCTGTCAGCCCTGTCTAGAGGTGTGTCAGCTCGGTCGAAGGTGCCGCGTCAACTATGCACTATGCAGGAAAGCGGTCCGACCGAATTTCCCGACAGCTCGTCGGGCGCCAACCGGCCCAGAATAAACCGCATTGTGGCACGCTAGGAAAGATGTCACCTTGAATTGTTTGATTCAGCTGTTCGGCATCTTGCCGCGGCCACGGCTGGCCGCCTTTTTCCCGTGCCGGGGCGGAAATGCCTGCGCCGAGTCCCATGCACAGCCGGCTGACTGGGAGCTGAGCACAGCTCGGTAAACCGCGAGCCACGCTCGGCGGACCGGCCTGCGAGCTGGCCGGCTATTACAGCTCGGCTGGTACTGCCGCGGTCATGGTCGCCACAGCGGCACAGCCACAGCCACCACCGCCCGGCTCCGCCACAAGCCACAGACACTGTTGCTTCAGTGCTCTATCCCTGTTTGACCGGTGGTGTCCCAGTCATATACATCAAACTCAACGGAACTGTGTATTTGACCCTGACTAACTAACATTGCGCCGAACACATGCATTGATATGTGAAGGCTAAGTGACCTAACTCGTGTGATGCTTACAGGCTTGTATGGCGTCTCTGACTGACATGTCTGACATTTTACTGACCTGTGTCCCCTTTTTCCCCTAGATGACATCCACCTGGAGACGCTGGTTAGCTCTGCGCCGGCCGAGTCGGTAGAGAGCGGTATGGACTCGCTGACACGCTCCCTATCACAGCTGGATGCCGCGTCTCTCCGCTCCTCGCAGAAATCACCAGCAGGTGAGCCTCCGAGTGGTAAAACTCCCGCTCCATGCCATTGTTTCAGTCTACTGAGTCACAGTCGCGGGCTGTGCGGTTGAATGCCACGACCCGCCTGGTGGGAAGGGCTGGCGATGGAGACCTCTGTGGTCCTATCTGTGGTTGCTGCAACAGCGTGCATCGGCAGACACGCAACCAACTGCAGGTTGTTAGGCGGGCCTCCGCGAAACTGCTGCAGTTTTATGACATGGTGTGATAAAGCTGCCTGCGGTTGTTTGTTTTTGGGTAGGTTGACCGTGATTGCACTATTTTCTGTATTCGATATGACGTGTTTCCCACGGCAGTGGGTTTCACCGATGGACGCGTATGGATGATCTGTTTATAACCTGTTTATAGTTTTATGGTAGCTTTCCCGTATGATGCAAGCACTCCGCTGTAGCCAACCTAACGTCTATCTCCTCATTTCAGACGACTCCAGCTCCCCGGCAGCTGCCGCCAAGGCTCCCAGCCCGGTGCTGGCCGCAGCCAGCGGCTCCACCAGCGCTGACAGCTCGCCGTCGTCGGCCGGGGCGGCGCCGGATGTGTCCCGCGCCGGCAGCGCACACAGCTCCTCCTCGCAGCACTCCTCGTCCACGGTGCGCTCTCGCTACTCGCTCACCAAGCTGACCGCCCACCAGACGGTCGATATTGACGGCGAGCGGGACGAGTCTTCAACCCGCGGACGGTTCGCCGCGCCGTCATCCAACTGCTGCAGCACCTGCGTCGAAGACGACGCAGCCTCCGACGATGCGACTTGTGACGAGACACGTGAACGGACTCGGCAGTGCGCGTGCGGTGCAGCCGCCGACGGCGCGAGTCTGGCCTCTGGGAGCACCCTGTACACGCTCCAGAGTGATTCGCCTCGTGTGCGACATGCCGCTAGCGGCTCGGAGACCCTGAGCCGCTCGCATCGGTCGCAGAGCAGTGTGGCTAGCACGGCCGATTCGACGCGCGCGGTCGACAGTGATGTGCCCGGCGATGCGTCTGTGTACGAGTACGCGTCGACGGAATACGCGTCCACAGAGGGTGCTCCAGAGTACGTGGACTTTTACCGACCGGCGGCGGCCGAGGCGGCGGCGGCGGCTGCGGCGGGGGACAGTGTCAATGGCAACACCGCTTCAGCGGCAGCATCAAACGGTGGAGCGACCACGCTCGACTACGGCGCTCACTCTGTGCACACATCAGTCGGCACCATCGTCACCACCCCGGGCACATTCCCCCGCAAGACGACCGTGTCTGACACTCTGGACACTGACAGCGACTACGTTCAGGTGCCCTACGACCGACTGGGTCAGTTCCGACTGCCCGAACCGACCGGCGGCGTGGCCATGGAGACGGTGACGACAGTGACGCCGTTCTGCCTGGCGCAGTCGTGTCAGACGGCGGACGCCGAGGAGGCGCCGCCGCCGCCTCCGGCCGCGCCCGCTGCGCCGCGAGTGGTGTCCGTCCCGGCCGCCTCCGCGCCGCCCTCTACTGAAGCCCCTGCTCGGTTCATCACCACCAAGCCGATGGTGACCGTGTTCCGGGCGCACGTGACGCCGGCCGTCACGCAGAGCGCGCGTTACGCCGGTGTGCCGGCCCGGCCGCGTGTCACCACGGCGGCTGCGGCTCCGGCGCGGCCAAAGCCTCTGTCCGTTCACCCGGAGGCTCTGCTGCGCTCCCTCAGCCACGAGGCTGGTCTGGTGATCGGAGGTAACAACTATCTGGACGTTCGGGCTTCCCACCCGGCGCTGAGCTCGGCGCTACGACCCGTGGAGCCTTCACCAGCGACCGCGGCGCCTGCCCGGCCGGCCGGGCCCGGTCTGGCCACCGTCTACATCAACCAGGTGACGCGCTCTCAGATCGAGCAGTTCCAGCGACAGCTTCTCTCAGACGCCGACTACGTGATCTACCCTCTGAAGGACCCAGCCATCAGTCGCCAGGAGTACGTGGACGCGCGTCACTGCAGTCTGGTGGCGGGTGGACCGCCTGCCGGCCTGCCGCCGCCCCCGCCGTATCGCGCGCCTCACACGGCAGCTCACTACCGCAGCTCTCCAAACGTAGCCGGTCCGTACGCCAGTACGACGCTTGTGCCTCCGCCAGCCGGGCCATATGCCGTCTCTGCCGGTCTGGCGCCGCACTTTGGCTCTACTCAGGCTCTCTCTGAGCGACTGGACGGTCTGCGTCGCCCCAAACACCACCTGAGCTCGCACTCGCTGGCGTCGTCAGCGAACAGCGGCGAGCCGGTGCCGGCGCCGGCTGACAGCGAGCTCCTGCGCGCTGCCCTGCTGGCCGGAGGACGGCGCAGCAGCGGAGTGATGAGAGCCAAGTCGGATGATAATCTGCTGTCGTCGACTGCGGCGGCGGATCGGAGACCCGAGCGACCTCCACCGCCCTATTGGCAGGTATGTAGTTCCGCAGCTGGTTGGAGGGCATTCACGCAAAGACGGATGGTGAAGAGATAGACATTTGTTACTTGGAGAACGTGGTACTTACTTTAAAGGATGTTATACCAGTGACTACGCTAAAATGATGAGATAAAAAGAACTTTGCTTGGACATTGCTTACATTGCAACACTGAACTGTGACGTCTTTTTATTGATATATCGAATCATCTCCTTTAAACTTCGATTCCACGATTGATAGTTGCTACTCGTAGCTTATGCATCATTGTGTCTTTTCTGTGTTCACAGGCCCAGACGCGGCTGCAGGGAGTGCCCAGTCCGTCCCTCAATCATCTGGATCAGTCTACAGTGATCCAACAGCACCAACTGCAGCAGCAGAAGCTGCAACAGCAGTACCAGCTTCAGCTTCAACAACAGCAACAACAGCAGCTCAGGCAAAAACAGCAGCAGCTGCAGCAAGAACAACTGAGACAGAAACAACAGCAACTGCAGCAAGAGCAGCTGAAACAGCAGCAACAACAGCTGCAGCAAGAACAGCTGAGGCAGAAACAGCAGCAACTGCAACAAGAACAACTAAAACAGCAGCAAGAACAGCTGAAGCAGAAACAACAGCTGCTCCAACAAGAGCAACTGAAGCAGCAGCAACTGCAGCTGCAACAAGAACAAATGAAGCAACAACAACAACTAATACAGCAGCAGTTGTTGCAACAGAAACTGATACAACAAAAGCAGCAGCAACAAGCTCAGCAGCAGCTTCTTAGGCAGCAGCAGCAACAACAACAACAGCAGCAGCAGCAACAGCAGCAGCAGCAGCAGCAGCAACAGCAACAGCAACAACAGCAGCAGCAGCAGCAGCAGCAGCAGCAGCAGCAGCAGCAGCAGCAGCAGTCTGAGCAGCAGCTGGAGGAGCAGATGCAGCAGCAGAAGCAGCAGCAGCAGCGGCAGACGTGGGAGAAACACCAGCTGCTGATCCGACAGCATCTGGAGCGTATCCAGCAGCTGTCCCCGGCTCCATCCGCCGGTGGGGCGGCCACCGCGCCCCAGACGGCCGACACCCACCCGCGGCTCGCGTCTGCCGCCAGTGATGACGGCCTGGACATCGACGGCCTGCGCGCGGCCAGCCACCAGATGGACCTGCCGCTCATCTCGGCGCTGTGCCACGACCGGCTGCTGCGCCGGCCGCCGGCGCCGCGGCCCAAGACCTGGCACGAGGCGGCCGGCGCGCCGGTGTCGGCGGCGGCGGCCGTCCCTCGCGCTCCGCCGGCGCACCCGGCCGCCGGCCAGCCGCTGCTCGCCAAACACAAGTCGCTGGGCCTGCCGGCGTTCCCTGAACAGCGGCGCGCGCCGGTGACGAGCGCGGCGGCCGCGCAGTTTGTGGCGGCGCTGGACCGCCGGGCTCCGGCCACTACCCACCGGCACCCACCCGTCCAGACCCCGGCCCAGTCGCAGCAGCTCAAGGCGGCGGCCAAACGCGACCCGCGCCCGGCACCCGTCCGGTAGTAGTGCCGCTGTCTGTGTCACTTGTGTGTATGTGTGTGTGCAGGAGATAGGTGAGACGCGGGCGGTGCGGCGCTCGCGGCGCATGGCTGGCTCCATGCGCCGTCGAGCGGGCCGCCCGCGTGCTGTTCGGTGTGGGTGTCTGCGCAGAGTCTCCTCGGGGCTCCCGCCGCTATCGCCGCTCCCACCCGCTTAACCAACCCCACAAAATCAGTCGAAAATGTCCAGAGAAGGAATAGTTATTTTTAAATAAGATAAGAAAGCAAGTTTTACTCGGCCGTGTCAAGGAGCGTTGTTCCGTTCACAGCTTCTCAAGTGTTTTGAATCTCTGGCTTTTTACCGGGTTTTGTGTGAGCGGTTTCCATTGAGCGGCGCAGCGGCTGAAGTGGAGCCCCTGAGAGAGTCCTCGGCGGCTGAGCGGCCTCTCCGCCCTCCCCCTCCTCCCCACCGATCCTTCCAGGCCAGTGCGGTGCCGGGCTGATCTAGAGTCGCCGCGCGCCGCGTCACTATTAGTGATCCACCAATGTAGGCAGTCCGAGCGGGACCATCGGATCACTGGGATTGTGCGAGTGTATTGTGAGCGTGTACAAGAAGAGTCGAACCTACTCGAATGTTCGTTGAGTCATATTTGGTACCCATGAGATAGTGCTATGGTCGTTTGTAAACTATGTAAATATTGTAAAAATGTAAATAAGAAGAAATATTGAGTATTGTTGCATAGTTTTGTATATCATTGGACATATTGCATGTTATGGTTCGTCAGCGTATTTTGTTCACCATTAAATGTGTGATCAAATATACAATACACTTCGAGAAAAGCGTTTCTTGGGGCCTGGAGGCACGGTTCCATGAGATGTAAGCCAGCGGATGATCATTACCTGTCATGACTGAACGTGTCATGTAGGTATAGGCAATTAGCATATACAAAGGGTTAGACGTTGGAGGTGACTGCTACCGGGCGGTCGAGTGTGCACTGCTAATAGCGTAGTCAAATGCATAACTCTTGGAATCTTGGGACCAGCGAAACAGTAAGGATTGGGCGCTGCCAAGTTCTAAGATAATGTGCCTATTCTTTCGGGCATGAGTGTAGCCGCACTGCCGTTAACTTCTGGGAATCTCGGCTCTCGTCTCAAAGCTCGGTCCATGCGATTATCAGCCGGATGTTGAAGCTTCAAGCTCTGGCTCTGCTCACGCCCGATGCTGTCACTGGTGACGGCCGGTGAATGCTACCACCACCTGGCGGACTCGGGTGGAACTAGTGCTACCTAAGCTGTCAATGCAGCGCTGTTCCTCTGTGAGATCTGTAGGTATTCAGTACCCTATATTGCAATATGATATTAACTTGCAGTAACTATGTTAGTGTTGGGCCTGACTCGTGATGAATTTATATGTTCTATCTGTCCTCAGGACTGGCCGGCGACCCATCCTTATCCTAGATCACATCACCCGGTTTAGACTGACGGTCACCGCACCAAGCAACCGTTCGAAGTTGGAGGGAGTACCCGAGCGGCTGGGTGATGTGTTCGGTTTCTACTATCCCAGCGGGGTACCCCGTTCCAGCAGTATTGCTCAGCAACTGCGACACACCAGTCGGTGGTTGACTCGGCTGAATAGTCATTTTCTTGTCCCACGGACGTAGAATGGCACCGCTAGACCGAGAGGGCATACGCCCTACGCCTAGCCTAGCAAAACGAAGGTCTGTTTTATTGATCAAATGAATATCATTGGTGCTCCATTTGTCATATACAGACCGGCCATGAAACCTCGGGTGTTAGTGATTATATTATTACATACATTATACATGACATTGGCGCATTTTGTTCCATGAAACATCATTTCATTGTCCATTTTACAAATAAGCGATTTAAGTTATTTTTAGCTAAAACACTACCGGCAAAGCAGCATCTCCCATACATATCATGATGAACAGCGCATCACCATGCTACATCGAAGTGGAGCGCTAAACAATAAACTCTGACAACAAACGACAATACGCGCTCACAAAACGGACTGTGACTGAGGAAAATAAACTTCAATACCGTGTCACATCGGGAAGCCAGGCAGGACGTATCAGAGGAGCTATAAATCGATGCCCATCTCGACAGCGAGCACCTGCTAAACGGTACAATTGCACAGCTAACAGTGCAGTTAAGTGAGCTTCCTATCGGCTACCGAGACTGCATCTCACTCAGGGCATACCTCGGACAACAGACCTTGGGCGGATAAAGGGACATGTGTTAGCCCCGCCTGATCGAACGCAGCACTGCTCCCCCGGCTATGGGGACGATATATTGAAGTGGACGGCTGTGGAGCACCGGCTTATGACACAGTTCGTCTCAGTTCAAACAGGCAGATGGCTGAATGCAATCGATCCGTTCAGACTATATCGGACTAGACCTACTAGACTAGACCAAACCAGACCACCAGCAAGTCGGAGCAAACATGAACAGACCGAACCAGACTAGACCAGACCAGACCAGACTAGTTAGATCGAGGTCTCTACACTTCATACTTATCAATTCCGCAGGTGACGCTGTTATTCCAACGCACGAACAGCGGGATAAACTTCGCGAGGCACCCATACCTACAAAGTTCACTGGTGGCACCGGAGGCGGAATAATGCGTCACATCCCCATTCAGAGTAGCCTGGCATCTGAAGATCCGTAACGACCAGCGATAACTTCTGGTGACCTGTGTTGACCTCTGGAAGCATATGATGACCTCTGGTGACCTCTGCACTCACTCTGCCCTCTGTTTTCTTGTGACCCACGGTGGAATCTCTAAGACCGTGACGATCTCAGTCGCTCCTGTGTACGCCAGAGTAGAGGGCGCTGTCCGCTCGTCTGGATTCCATCACAGACAAAGTCTCCCATCTGGAGGTTGTTTCGTCCATCTTCAGGTGGCTAGTTGCTCCGGCACCGGCCCCACCGCGCTTTGAGCAGACTGGGAGACGAGGGTGGACTTGGAACAGACTGCTGGGGGCGCGTCAGTAACCGCCAGACTCTTGGGACGGATTGCTTTGGGCGCATCAGTAACCGACGCAGACTTGGAGCAAACTGCTGGTTTCTTGGAAACCGCGCTGGAAACCAACAGAGACCTCCGATCGGCTCCTTTTGAGGAGGCCGTCGATGACTTTGGGGAGGCGTTACGGGCCGCCCCGGAGACGGTACGAGACGCTCCGGAGACGGCACGAGACGCCCCGGAGACGGCACGAGACGCTCCGGAGGAGCCGTTCGCTGACGGCGGGGAGACGACCAGAGCCGGCGGGTTCACGGAGGAGGAGGGAGCCGCCGGGGAGCGACGAGCGTGGGCCGGCATCAGGGTGCCGTTCAGCGACGGAGCGATGCTCAGCTCTGTGGGAGAGAGAAAACAGAAAGGTGATGAGATAAAAATACGAAAGTGACAAGGGAGACGTAGGAAAATCGACAGCCCCGGCAGGGGCAGACATTAGTGACAAGACGTCGCTCCATAATTATAGCCACGCACAACGCTTTGCGTTCCGTTGCGTTGCGTTGTAGGTATTGCTCTGCGTTGTGTAGCCTGAAGTTGTTTGGCCAAGCGTTACGGTCCTAAAGCTTCCTCTACGTACGCTGAGCCTCTAGCCGTGGTAAAGTTTGCCCCAAGGACCCTTCCGCTTCGGTACGTCGCAACGGCGCATTATTACCCAAACTTTCACAATAGATGTTCCCAAGGTCGCTGGCTAACGGCCAATATGAGACGCAATAAAGACGTCTCATAAACGTACACGACAAAGCTGACGTAATTTGTTACCCACCATACGCTCTGCATGTAAGAATAACCATATAACTAACTTAGTTCGCTTACGCATCTCTCTCTCTCTCTCTCTCTCTCTCTCTCTCTCTCTCTCTCTCTCTCTCTCTCTCTCTCTCTCTCTCTCTCTCTCTCTCTCTCTCTCTCTCTCTCTCTCTCTCTCTCTCTCTCCCTCTCTCACTCTCTCCCTCCCCCCTGTCGTACCGTGCTCAGTGAGGTCGAAGAGTGGCGGCAGTGGTCGGCCGTTGGGCAGCCGCGCCTGCGGGTCTCTAAGTTGCGAGAAGAACGGGTGACAGCAGGCCTGCTGAGGGCTCAGCCGCGCCTGCGGCGTGAACTGCAGCAGCTGAGAGACCAGGTCGATTGCCTCGGGAGGGGTCATGGCCCGGAACAGCTGGGGACAGGGAAAAGGGGCAGGTTAGGCGACATTTGATCCGAGTCTAACGATAGCTCATGAGATTTAGCTCTCAATTTGACATATATGACACAGGAAAATAAATAAGCAGTAACAGTTTTCATACCTAATTCATGAACCATGTACAGAAAGATCAGAAGCAAACTGAACTATACGGCTCAATGAGTTGCCGATGTTCCACGCACGCACACAGTCCATAAGATAAATATCTGACCTCAGCGATCCCAGTCCCATGACCGACCCCGCGCAGCACGCACCACCCTCATCCCCAGTCTCTCAATGCCATCTGCCTCCGACAGACCAATAGGGGCGAGTATGCCCCACCAGACAGCGTTGGCGGCGCATATAACCCTCCAGCGTCTCGCACCGACGCACACGGCCGCTCCGCCAAGGCAGCAGCCAGCATTGCCAGTACCTATTTTTTCCTCTGAACACATTCACACCGTGGACAATAAATCCACAAGGACCTTTCTTGTTTCGGCGCCACTTTGTCGCTCACATCATCAGGAAAAGTGGTATTGCGTGTAATACCGCTAAGCGTCGATTGATTTTAACGGTACGTCGTTCGATTGTCGGGCTGTTGGTTGCGTGTTTGACCGAAATACCCGAGAGATCACCGACCGTTAGTGTATCGATAGATCCGGGACGGTGACCTTACCGTGGCCCGAGTGACCCGAGGTCAAACAGAGAGGCAATGATGGCCCAGCAAATACCAACTGACCTGAGCTGAGGTGAGGCTAGACGAACCTAAGCATCGTTTTCAACAAATTGTTGTAAATTCGTCGAGGTCAAACAGCCGGATGGCTATCCTGACACAAGTGGTGGCCTGAGGTCAGGCAGATGGACGGTGACCCTGGTACAAGCCTAATGAAATAATTTTTGGGACCACCTATACCTATACTGAGATCTAGCCCACGGTTGACATGATTGGAGTATTACGATATGGCCTGTAGGGACTATCAAGTAAAGGATGTTTTTATGTCTCCATGCATGTCTTACTTATAGGAATGCATGCTGTCTCCATGTCTTCGGTAACAGTAACCTTGCGGCGCTTGGCGCGACCTGAGGCCTTGCAATAGACCAGAACAGCTGATCCGTGCACTTTGCCAACCGAGTTGGCTGGGACACCCACCACCCCGTCCTCCCCCTTCCCCGCGGCTCGCAGCTGGCTGTCCCGTGACGCTCCAATTGCCGCTGACAGCAGCCAAGGTTGCCACCGCGACCACTGCCGCCGCGACTATCACCGCCGTCTTTTTGTGGTGAGGGGAGGACGGACCCCATAACGATGACTCATCTGTAACACGTGTGGGTTTCGGTACCGATGTCCATGTGTGCCCATGTGTCAGTGTGTCCTAACCTTATGACACTATATCGCTGTACCTAGTGTGCACTTTGCACTGCGCAGGTGTCAACCCCGGTGTTAGCGTTTACGTCTTTGTTTGTATTGGTATTAATCTCTAAGTTTATATCAGTACCTATCGATCTCTGTCGAAGCCTCGTAAATGTCGAGTGATTAAAGTCAGCATCAGTACCCTTGTTATGTCAAACGTCAGTACTTGTAAGTACCTACTTAAGTATCACTATCAGTGATCCTGATGAGTACCTATATACCTCATGATTGAGGTGGCGCATGATTTATCTTACAAAACATTGTATTCGAAATAGCTGTGACTAAGCGGTCACTTTGCGGAAGAGACAGTCAAAGATTAATGCAGCATTAATCAGCGCCTACGTAAGATCTAGAATCCTCAATTTGACGGGACCCCGACCCTGAGCGAAAGTCGGTCTGGCGTACAGCCAATGGCAGCGACAGGTGTAAAGATCTGAATGCTTGGACTCTCCCACGCCAATGACGCTGACGCATGAACTACGTCACCTGGAGCGATACCTGCTCCTCAGGACTATGGATATTTATCACGCATTTATTGTGGTAATAAAGAACATTGTAGAGGGTAGCATTTGGGGGATGTCGAAAGAGGGGATCAGCCAGTCCATGTCCATTTTGTCCTATGAGCTGAGTGCGGTTTACAGTTTACACTCATGTGCACGGCGCTCAAGCGTGCGAGGATATCTTTGAGTGCCGATAGGCTACAGATTACGAAATGTCCGTCTGAATAAGACGTTTCGTCAGAGGGGATGTCTGACTTATCAGCGATCTGCAATCTTTGCAATCTTTTGTCATCAACACTTGACAATGCTCGAACGAGAAACGGCTGATACTGCAACGAAGTCATGGTCAGAGCGATATCATGTATAGTGGCGAACCGCGACCTATAGGCGAAAATGTCGCTTTTTATGGTTGAGCAATGAGCATGGTGATGAAAGTTATAATGAAATTCCGAATGATCTGTTTTGTTTGCCAAAAAGGAAAATATACAACGACTAACGACTGTCGCCATTGAAAATACCTGAGTCGAAGAGACGGTGTTGATATCATTATTATTTTTCGTTTCTTTTAGCAATAATCGCTTTGCAAAATGATGAATGATGAATAAGGTACTTATAGCTACGAGTAGCTATTTTACTTATTTATTGGAGGATGCATCAACTTTAAGTTCAACTATGCATATTAATAAAAACCATTTACTTATGCAGTCCGTTCGACAGGTCATTTCCAGTCGCATACCTTTTCTTTTAATTCGCTCGTAATGGATGGCAAGCGCCTTTAATTTGATAACCCGATTTCTGAGGTACATTAACCCTCACCCCGTTGGGGGACCATTTTGCCCCCCCCCCCCTGTGGTTTTTCCTGAATAGCAAGAAAACGGCGACGCGCAGCGCCGCCAAATTTTCAGTACCTTCCCGGGCATCAATTTGACACCTTCACGTCGATTTCAAGTCTTAGGTCACCTTAGGTCAGGAGCTATTGAGGTCAAACTGAGGTCATGTTCGAGCAAAAATGAGCAAAAAACATGCAATCTTGAAACGCTCACCAAATTTACAGTTACCAAGCAATTTCAAAGTTCTTTATATGGTCTAGTAGACAAAAGGCGGCGCTACAAAACTGCAAATCCAAAACTAAAAAAAAATCATTTTTTCGAATTTCGAAAAAAACCGGAATATATATGATAGTCCCTGAGCTCTTCTATATACATACCAAATTTCAGATCGATATCTCATTTTTTGGCCAGGTTATAGCGAAAAAAAAACTGTTCAAAAATGATGACGTCAAATTTTGAACTCAATTTATAGCGATTCTAGACCACGTAGGGCAAAACAAAGACCACCATTGAACTCCCCGTGACGAGCTGCATCGAATCGATACCCATTTTATGCAAAAATATCAACTTTGAAATTTGACCTAATTTGACCTGACCTTGACCAAAAACGTGACCTAAGCTGGCCCAAAAGTCTGTCTGACCCACATAATCGCATTTGTCATGTAAAATGGACCATAAAACATGTATCACACGACACTTTCACATTGTGCCCCCCAGTGACCTGACCTCTGTGACCTGACCTGGTATCAGTGACCTCAAATAGCAAAATATGTGTTTGAAGAACATTTCCCCATCGATGATTTTCAATGAAATGCATTTTACTCGATTTTACAACGCATTCTTGAAATGCCTGTAAACGGTGAAAATTCGAACTTTGACCTGACCTGTGACGTCATCGGTTTGACCTAGGTCAATAAAATTGGGTCTCAAGGTAGTTCCCTGATAGGGATATCCAACACCGTTTGCCGCTTGTCGCTAGGTTGCGTGGTTCTCGAGATCTTAGGGGGCCAAATTGCCCCCCCCCCCCCAACGGGGCGCGTTGCTCGGCAGAGCACAACGGGGCGCGGGTTAACCTAAATAGTCTAGTGCGAGCTGGCCAATTAACTCGCAGACCGTATATCAAGAAGGAACACTGTCTGGCAGCCGTCGCGAGAAATAGTTTCAACCGTCCCCTCCTCTACAAGGTCGCTCGGCTCACCAAGTGGCCGTTTACTTTGGCGAGTACCTAGCTAAGCCAAAGTATCGGCAGTATTCGACAGTGCACCGTTATATGTGCAACTGATGATCGTCGGTGCAGCCAGCTGGGCTACAAGACGAAACCGAGAACCCTGTGCAAAAAAAAAATAGTTTTCCGTTCCTATACTGCAAGCACTCATAGGCGGCGGAACGGGGAGGGCACTGGGGCACCGTGCCCCCTTTGATTTTGGCATTTTAACATTAGCCCTTTGGGCAATGGGCGTTGCATGGAAAGAATAGGACCAAAAGTCGGCAGTCCCCCCCCCCCCCTTAATTGAATGTGTTCCACCGCTACTGCAAGCACTCTTCGACTTATCACCTGTTTCGCTAGCTCATGTCACGATTCATGAACGAATCATAATTCATGACTCATGACTGGGAGTCTGCCGACACTATGTAAGCTTCTGGCTGAGTGGCCCTCCTACCCACCTTGTGCCAGGGCCGTGCGCGCATCTCCGGGAAGCGGGTGTCCTTGTAGTTGGGGTTCATCTGAGCCAGCTGCTCCCGGGTGGGCGTCCCTAGCTGGCGGATCACCTCCACCAGCTGATTGACGCTGTTGTCGCCGGCGAAAATCGGACGGCCCAGCAGCAGCTCGGCCAGCACGCAGCCGGCGCTCCACACGTCTGGAATAGGACGGTAGGTCAGGTAAGGTCGGGTCAGGTCAGATAAAGTCATATCAGGTCAGGTCAGCTTCTTCCAGTTCAGTTAACGCCCGGTCTAGTCTTGTTAAGTCTGGTTAGGTGAGCTGGCACTCCTTATATTGTGACACGGAACTCCTTATATTGTGACAATGAAGTCACGCCGGAGGCAGTGGTAGGTCAGGTCAGGCCAGCTCAGGTGAGGTCGCCATTCCAAGGCTGTGTGGGACACGAGCTACGGTCAGATCAAGTGAGGCTTGCGTTTCAAACGTCTGGAGAATTTAGACCAGACTAACCTCCTATTCCAGATTTATAAATCAATAGCGCCAGCAGCGGTGGCAAATCTGTCATTTTGACAGCGGAAACCCCTTCAGAATAATAAGTCAGCTACAGCAATAAAATCAGACCACAAACGTCACATCCACTCAGGTGGTAAATTACAACACCAACGCAGTGAGCCTTCTGCGCGATATTCAAATGGAATTTCGTTTAATCTGCCTCCGTAAATATCCACACAGCGAGCGGCTCTGTCAGGGATGACGTCACAGTTGCAAGATCTGCAACACAGGCCCCGTCTAACGGCCCACTGGCTCGGCAGAAAAATAAACAGACCCCGCCGGAGCACGGGTTGATTCACGCTGCCAGCCCAAAACGACAGCGAGAATGTGCCACAGGTGGCAGCTGGAACGTCGCGAATTGGCAAACTGAGCGATCGCCAACACTTGGACTCATTCTACCAAGGACTAAATTTAGCAGGTGTTTTCTGAACCGACAAATAGAGGCAGACCACAGAAAGGGTTGTAGGGAAGTGAAGGAGGCTGCATACAGTTCCACGCCCTCCAACTGACAGCCAAGGTCTTCTGAAGGTTAGCACTTAGCAATTAGCATGAGGTCGAAGTTAGGGTCAAATCAACTATATCTCCCCCCCCCTCTCTCTCTCCCTCTCTATCTCCCTCTCTCCCTCTCTATCTCCCTCTCCCTCTCCCTCTCTCTCTCTCTCTCTCTCTCTCTCTCTCTCTCTCTCTCGAATTGGCAAACTGAGCGATCGCCAACACTTGGACTCATTCTACCAAGGACTAAATTTAGCAGGTGTTTTCTGAACCGACAAATAGAGGCAAATAGAGGTCTCTCTCTCTCTCTCTCTCTATCTCTTCCAATATGTTTTCGTCTTCCCTTCGCTATTCTCCACTCCTCTTTCCCTGCCACCTCTACCCCTCTACATCACTCCATCCCTATTTTCCCTCCCTCTCTTGTCTCGCTCGCCTCACCGATGCTGGTAGTGTAGTCGGTCGCCCCGAAGATCAGCTCTGGCGCCCTGTAGTAGCGGGAGCAGATGTAGGCCACGTTGACCTCGCCTGCCGACAGCACCTTGGCGCTGCCGAAGTCGATCAGCTTCAGCACCCCGGTCTCCGGATCGACCAGCAGGTTGGGCGGCTTGATGTCCCGGTGGCAGACACCCAGAGAGTGGATGTAGCCGAGCGCTCGGAACAGCTGGTACATGTAGAGCTGGGAAGGAAGGGGTGTGGTGGTTAGAGGTGACGATAGACAGATTGAGAGGTCATTGCGAGCGATAATCAGCTTATGAATGTTAGACGGTCGTGAGACAGGTAAGCCGTTATTTCACAGATGGTGAGCTGACGCCTGAATGTTGGCTGATGTCACAGGTCAGCAGCATGAGCTGAACAACGAGCCTTTGGTCATACACATTGGCCTGTCAATGTTGATTGGCTTCTCTTTATGACTTACATAAGTCGCAGCTTGACTGGACAACGCTCCATGGCGCTGGCCTACATATTGCAAACTCTCCCATTCATCTCTCCTTCACGACGTTTGAAGAGATTCCCCTTCTCAGCGGGATCGAGGTCGGCCGGCTGGCGGTCGGTGCGCTGTTTGCCGCCGGACCCGCCGCCCCTGCAGTTGACTGCCGCCAGTGACACAGGGTCGAGGGGTAGTCCGGCGCCGGCGACCGTGTACCGCCCCGGTCAAATATTTACCGGAGCAGATGGGTTCACATGGGACCACACTGGAGGGATCTTCATCGAGACATCATCAGAGCTCGAGGCGGCGGAAACCACAGCCCAGAGCTCAGACTTAGCTACAGCTCAGGCTGCAGAATCGGAGTGGCCCAGACCAAACCTAGTCCAGACCACACTTCAACAATCCCAGATTGGACCAAACATTCGGACCAGATCAGGCTCCGACCAGACCCAAGTAGAGCCCAGTTCCAGGAACGGGCCATTGCCCAGACAGCCGAGGTTAGTGGGAGTCCATTTGTGACATTCAATGTCACACATAAGTCATAAGTTATGTAACCAGGCTGTCGCATGACGTTCGTTTAATTTATCGTGTAGCTGATGGCCGGCGCATCCTGTCATAAGACGTATATATAGGATTGGGAGCTAGACAGGGAACTGGTAAAGGACAGGTATATCCTCTTTCTGTGCTAAGAGCACCCTGACCCGCCAGTAAAGCAATCTTGGACCCGCCAGCCACCCTAGCTTCTCACTGTCTTTACTGTTCATAACAGTGGTGTCCAGTGCCCATGTTTGTTGCCCTTAACGGTTCGACACCGGCCTCGTGTCGAAACGGTCAAGAAGCGTTCAAGACCGGCTCAGGACGGTAGAGAGACCGACAGAGAGCCGGAATAACCGACAGAGGGTCGGAGAGCCGACAGCACGCGCAAGGTCGACACCCGAGAGTGCCCCGGGCTCCCTGCCAGCCGTCTGCACAGTCCACTGCGTGACATTGGCACTCCCTGTCAGCGTATTGACGGCGCTGACAGAGGCCTCTGTCCTGCGGCAGGACGCAGCATCCTGCTGTCATCGACTGACATATGATGCTTCTGAATGACCTGTGACGTAATAATCACTTGACAAATGACACTTCTAACCGGGTCAGGTGTGACGTTGCCGAATGGCACGTGTCATGCTCGACTGTCCATTGTCGATAGCTGAGTGCAGCGTCATTCCCAGGAGAAAAAAGTCGCCGCAGATCTCTGACAGACTGTTTCATCTCCCACGTCACACGCATTCAACAACAATCATCTCAGCATCATATCCTATATTCCTTGCGCACTTTTCATTCACCCTCCCCTGCTGTCTCTCACGTCCCAAGCACGCGTCTGTTTCATGTTGCTGCTGAACTGACCTTGATGAAGCTGATGGGGATGGTCTGGCGGTTGCTCTTGTAGCGACGTGCCAGCTTGTGTACCGTCTCAGGGAGGTACTCGAGCACCAGGTTCAAGTAGACCTCCTCAGACTGCCGAGAACAGGGAAACAGGTGAGCTCGGAGCAATGCAAAAAGGTACCTACTTGAGCACCAGTTTCTTCAGTTACACCCCTTCAGACACCCGAACAAGGTTAAGGACATCATAGTATGTATATTGTATGTATATTGCTGCATTCAATCCAGCAGGTGAGAGCATCGTTTGAAAGGACATGTGCCATTTGCGAACATCAATCACATTTACGAGTTTATTATTGAATGAAATATCCTTCGTGCCACATTACCAAGACCTTGAACGAACTCGGTCAGCACTCAACTTCACAAGCCAAACACTGATTTTGCACGGAAATCCGGGTCAATGTTGCTTGCAGCGACAAATCGGGGCACTGTCGCAACATTTGTGTTTGCTCAGACATCAACCATTCCTTTTGAGCGTTGTGTAAACTGGCTCGGCGAAAGCTCGAATAACTAAATGCTAACAAATTCTGATTAATCTGCAGGGACATGAGATAAGTAGATGTTTGATGAAGCAGAAGATGGCCTATGAAATGTCGGATTTATAAGCAGCAAAAAAAAAGATTTCATAAACGGCAGCTAACGCCACAAATATTCCATCAGGCATTAATCTTGAATTGGTATTGTTTATTATATACGCATAATTTATTTATGATGGCATATCTATTCCCACAGTCGAATTAGTTTAGGTAAATATGTATATTGTACATGTCTCCAGTTCACTTTTAATCCGTCCCAGCGCTTTATTATCCATTTAAATTTTCACGTGTTTGTGTAGCCTTGATCTACTAAAGTTTTACGCGTTGTATAGTGACCCCATCGGCTAACCTTTACTGTTGGTACTTGCGTAACTGTAAGTGATGAATAACGAAATGGTGGCGTTGAGGAAATTTACGGAACGGATCGCCATCAAGCGATGCAATTTAGGTCAGCCCGGCTAGTCCGTCGCATTCCAGTCAAGCGAAGCGGGCAACATCCTGCAGGCTAAGTCCGCTGCAGTATAAAACCATTGATGTCAGGAAAACAGACCAACTTCAGAATCTCCCATTTCGCCAGAAATTTCCTCCATCCCATGTTGTACTTGGCAAAGCATAAAGCGACCTAGGCTGCGCGCGAACAAATAACACAAACCATAATCCGGGAATTACGAGTGTGCATGTGCGCGATCCGAGAGAGCGTCGGCCAAAGACCCCAGCCATGCGCTGCCAAGGAACATATCCGGTAGCGGCGGGCAGCGGCAGCGGGCCACGGGCAGCGGGACCTGGCATGGCAGGAATGACGCTCTGCGCTGTAACCAAGGCCTTAGGTCCAGACCGTCTGGCGCTTGTCGTGACGCTTTCCCGGCTTGATTCTCGCCAACTTAAAAAAAGAACTTTTAAAAAAGTAACCGAGGGCGTATGTTCAATTTTTAAAACACTATTCGTTAGAATTGTTTTCTATTGAATACCCAAAGAGCATATGGGAAGGTACTTGGCATCCTTTACGATAAACCTATCCCTCCTCCATCTCCCCTTTCTCCCTCTTCCGTCTCTTCCCCTTACCCTCTCTCCCTCTTCTATCTCTTCCTCTCTATCTCTTCCTCTCTCTCTCTCTCTCTCTCTCTCTCTCTCTCTCTCTCTCTCTCTCTCTCTCTCTCTCTCTCTCTCTCTCTCTCTCTCTCTCTCTCTCTCTCTCTCTTCCTCTCTCCATTTCTCTCTGATACTATCTATGCTATAGTCTGAGCACCTGTCTAGACTAAAGACTGCTACTTTATGGCCCGTATGGTATTTACGGTGGTTACAGTGATGAACTAGGGACAGCTGTCAGCTGGTAAGGTGCCACTTAACCACTGAGCCAGCCTGATGGTCCGGCCAGAGACTATGCTGCACCATTTCGAAGCGTTAGACTAAGTGCATATTTTGCCGCTGAAAGCTGAACAATTCTGGTGACGTTGACGGCTGCCTGCTGCATTTCTAAATTGCTGAAGAATTCAGTTGACTGAAGCGTTAACCACTCGGGGACAAATTGCTCCAAGTGCTTGCGACCTTATTTAAATGTCAAAGTCGCCTAAGAGGACAGAATAGCGTACTAGACAAACGATTTTTCCGGTCTAAGATATTCTCCTGAGATGTGTATCATTACATTTCCGTTTTTCTCAATTAATTGACAAGATCGGCGCTTACCTGGTCGCCACTCGAGTAGAAGAAGTACTTCAGCATGACTACGTTGCAGTGTCCCAGCTTCCTCATTATCTGTAGCTCACGGTTCTGAAACAGCGATGCAGACGAGCGTGCTGAGGCGAAGATCCATCTCATTAGGGCGGATGGAAAGGGGAAGGACAACATCCGCTGTACCACTTGAGGGTGAAAACTGAGCCACAACGTTTCAGCATTCGCGCTTAGCCACATATATGTAGACCCACCACAGCTCAGCCACTCCTGTATTGATGGGGCGAAAGCGATCGATAGTACCCCACCGTGCCCCTCGCCGTGTCTCCTGCGTATCCCAGAAGCTTGACCGCGTCACAGAGCCAGTGAGGCCACCCAGGTCATTGGAGAGGACGGCAGCCGGGTCAGGTTTCAACGGCATGTGGGCGGTGAGCGCAGCTAAATTGGACGCGACGCACCGCATCAACCGCGAGGCAGCCAGATTCACCCCCAGATCAATACGAAAAGGCACGGCAACTATGCCCACAACGAGCCGTAGAGGGCTGGAAGAGCTGGAAATAGCCCCACGGACAATCAATGCCACATCGGATATTGATGGAAACGACAGGCCGAACGGGATTGATAGGTCCGAAGACCGGGTTGTACGCGATCGGCGCATCGGTTAATGGCGTCACGAATGCGTAACTGCTTACGTAAGCATACCAGAGCTTCCAAAAGAGCAGTGGCTTTTAGTGATAGATAAGACATTTAAGCTCCTTGGATCATGTTTGCTTGACCACGATCCGCCCACTGACCTTAAATCGTTTGTCTTGTAGAACCTTCTTGATGGCGATTTGTTCCCCAGAATCGCACAGCTTAGCCTGGTACACCACGCCAAAGTTGCCGTTACCAATTATCTGTAATGGCGAGAGAGAGAGAGAGAGAGAGAGAGAGAGAGAGAGAGAGAGAGAGAGAGAGAGAGAGAGAGGAGAGAGAGAGAGAGGGAGAGGGAGAGAGAGAAGAGAGAGAGAGAGGGAGAGAGAGAGAAGAGAGAGAGAGAGAGAGAGGGAGGGAGAAAGAGAGAACTTGGGTCAGTTATATAAAACGGCCGAATACTGACAGTGACCTGTGGGATGCCGGCTCTAGCATAAACGAATACATAGAGGATTTTACTCAACCAGCAGCGGGCAGCCCAAAAAGGCATTAAACGTTACACGTTGACCCATTATTCAGCATTCACCTACTTAGCTAGATGACGGTTTCTAATTACCTATACGTCACATAAACTCACGAAAAGGGACGCTCAATATCAATAAAAAAAATGGCGCATGGCGCTTGGTTAATGCGGAGGTGAAAGCACCCGTAATTACCTAAAGTTATCTTCACCCTGTTGCCGTACCTTTGAGTCTGAATAGGAGACCTGCTGGGTTCGATCAGAGCCCTGACCCGGCGTGGCCACTACGGTGGTCACCCGAGAGTTGCCCTTGTCTGAAAAAGAAGACGTCATTTATAATTTACATGCTTGAATTTTTATAGCAAAAGTAGTCGTGTGAGGTACAAGTGACTGCCTACCATCAAATGCAAGAAATCGTGATTATATAATATGACATGGAATTTGCTTATGCATCTGTGCTCATTCAAAATGTCAAAATCAGTTCTGCTGAGACAGACCTGCCCCCGGAGACCCTGTTTACCAGACTGGTGGCCCATCGGTCCACATTCCGTCCAGCTGTTGCCACCCGGCCGCGGTCACCGGCCCAGCGACTGTCCCAGAGGACAGGGGAGCACCCATCCCTCCGTCCCGTCACGCTATACCCTCCCAGTGTTGACCATTGGTCGATGGCGTCATCGAACCGGCGAAAGTGAGTGCTCGCTCGTCCATCCGATGGTGCCCTGGGGGCGGAAACGCAGGAGGAAAACACCCGACGTCGTCACTGCCACAGCCGCGGCGACGCGCTACCGTCTGCGTTTCGTCAGGTGGCAGGCGGGCGACGTCTAGTGTCGTCAGTTTCCGAGTGTTATCGGCTTATGTGACAGAGGACGGACGGCCTTGTGAGGGAGAATTATGTAACCCTTATTGTCTGCGGCTGATATAACCCACTATACGGCTTCTCCAAGGGCTGTGGACGATCGTCCACTTCCCCAAGATCAAAGACAGACGTCCATTATATATCGAGGCCCTCTCCCGAGCGGGCGCCACTTCAGGAACAAAGCGCCGCATATCGATTGTGCTCCGGTTGTGACGTTTGATGGCGCTGGAGGGACTAAATGCGAACAGGAGAGGCGACGGAGCGAGACGCACCCCATTCCAATATGTTCCAATCTTCCGGGTGGAAAGTTCAACGAGCAGCTGCCGCCCGTGGCGTCGAGCGTAAAATAAAGGTTTTGATGGAATGTCACCGATGGTCACGATAACCTGAGAGGTTACTGTCAGAAATGGTCAGCTAAATGGCCGAGCTTCTGATGGGCAGGGGCCGATCGCGGCTGAAATGTCAGATGTTGCGCGTCGCGACTGAGCTGAGGTGGTAACAGCTGATGTGAAACTCGTAAAAAAGGGAGGGAAGAACACTCCCCAGCCGTCAACGCTGCACTGCTGCATCTCCCCATGTCAAACACGGAGGATGGTGTTCGCAGCTGCGCTAGTCCAAACAAACGAATGCTGGCCGGCGCTCAGCATACCGCTGCCCTCATAAACCATCCTCGGGAGCTCCACGGGGAACCCAGCGCGGGAAGGCGGAACCCCGGCGGAACCCAGCGTGGGCCGAACGGAATTCCGGAACCATGTTCGTCGAACCTGTGATGTTTATCTCAATCAAACTCTGTCTAAATCTACGAGTAATTAGTTCCTTTTAAACCTTATCCCCCGAATACAATAAGTGAAAGTTATTTCGAATTTGCTCACTTCATCGTATTGAAAATTTAGGTATAAAAAGGCTGTCAGCCGCTTTATTTTCAGCTAGTCATTTTTTCCATCGATGTTTTACTGACCCTTTTTTCCATAATCGATATCTTCTGGCCTTTCCCGTCTCTGCCTTATGCCGTCAACGCCACCCCCCTCCCTCCGTCACAAATGCTCACAATCCTAGCTATACTCCCGCTTCCATTCTCTGCTGAACGTGACCACACAAAGAGCGGCCTCAGGTCCGTGACGGTGACCCGGCCGGTGAGAGGTCGCCGTCGGAGCCGACGTCGTCGTCGGAGCCGATGCGTCGGCCGGCTAATGGCCGTCGCTGATGGCCGGTGTACCGGTGCAGGTATACAGTGCTCCGGGCACACGCCGCCCAGGCCCGGATCTCTGACATAAACAGAACATTCCAGACGGAAGGACACGGCGACGACACGGCCGAGCAGGGTCAGGGGCAAGAAGGCGCGGCGCCGTGGTGCGATTGGGTAAAATGGGCTAGACGATTTGAACTGCGGAATAACGGTTTTTGATAAAGAAAATCTATAAGGTATCGAATGCATGATCAGTTCTCAATGTTTGCCTACATGTCTTGAGAAAATAGTGAAATCAGCTTACATGCATAATGCATAGTATAACGGATCAATCACTCACCAAGTCGTCGCTAATATGCTTGAGTTAACTTGGAGCATTGTTATACACTTTAGCAGTGCGCAATGCAATGTGCAACTTCTTCCTATCTGCGCAGCCGATAAACGCCAATCATCTCCTGATACAACGGATTCGCCTTTAACCACCTTTTAGCCCCCATTCAGCGTGACTCGGCTTCCCATGCAGGGCAGATTGCAGCACCTGTCTGGCACGGCTCCAGGGCCTCGACGAACAGTTCACCACCGGCTGGCGTCTGCTCATACCGGCTCAGTGCACAGTGATGCAAATGGGGTTCACGAGTGGCCATAAATACGAAAAAGGCCAAAAATTCAAGTTCACTTAATCGAATAAATCGTAATATGGTCAGTCAGGCAAATGTTTGGGGTGTCTAAAAAAGTATGATTTTAATGTTTTTGTCAAAACCGACCTCGTGTAGGATTGTCAGAAGTCGAGACATTTTCGATGTCGTAAAATGACTGTCAGGTACTTGAAATTCAAGTGCCGCTAGCGTGCGTTCATGTCATACAAACTGCAAAAATTATACATGAAAATAATCCCCGAAACATGCTGCTTCTAATGCCACGTCATAAAACGCCGTATCTATTTTGGTTTGGCAGTGAGCTAACTATTTGTAATCATGTTGCAACCGCAGTTTTTTACCAAAAATATTTGCTTTCAATTCACCTACAGCACTTCACACAGTGTGTGCCCGTTAGTGCACTATATCATAGCATTCCCTAATCATTTCTGAGTCGCATCGTGAAAGAATTAAGGCGCTAGCACAGGGCTGACCGGCGCTACAGAAGTTTTCGTCCGGCACGGTCGGGTGCCGCGGCGCAGCGGGCGGCCCGGGCGGCCGCGCCGCCGCGCCGCCCGGACGCCGCGCGACGACACCCACCCGCCCACTGCGCGCCCACTGCGGCACCCGACCGTCCGGACAAAAACCTCTGTAGCGCCGGTCAGCCCTGTGCTAGCGCCTTAATTCTTTCACGATGCGACTCAGAAATGATTAGGGAAGGCTATGGTATGGTGGACTAACGGGCACACACTGTGTTAAGTGCTGTAGGTGAAACGAAAGCATTTTTTTCTTAGTAAAAAACTGCGATTGCAACATGATGATAAATAGTCAGATTACCGCCAAAGCGAATGAGATACGGCTTTTTGTGACCCGGCATTAGAAGCAGAAGGCTTTGGGGATCATTCCCATGCATAATTGTTTCAATTTGTACGAAATGAACGCAAACCAGCGGCGATTGAACTTGCGAGTGTCTGACCGTCATTTTACGACCTAGAAAATGTCACGACTTCTGACGATTATACACGAGGCCGGTTTTGACAAAAACATGAAAACCATGTGATTTCAGATGCCCCGAACATTTGTCTACTCGGCCATATCGCAATTAACTCGATTTGGTAAACTTGACTTTTGGGTATTTATGGCCACTCGTGAACCCCATTTGCATCACTGTGCAGTGGGAACGGGGCTGACGCGAGGGTGACCTGTGGGCCACCCCGGCGGTCACATCAGCGCCCTGGCCGGCCCGCGGCTGAACAGCGGCGAGGGACGGTGGCAAGACAACGCGACTCGTCAAGACTTCTGTTTGGCTGGACATCTGTAGATCAGCTGGGATATCCGTGCGTTATCAGACCAGTTGAGATGCCTTCTTGAAAATCACCATGATGGACCAGCTGAGATAAATGTGCATTGGTTTGATTTTACGTGTCTAGGAATGTGTTGGGGGAGGGGGGTCAGCATGAAACTAGATAAACTGATTGTGATTTGTTTCACAACTCCCTTTGTTCCACTCTTTCACTGATAAACATCCTGAGGTAACCGTGACGAAGCATGTATGTTGTATATGGATAGCTATCCGACCAACGACTTTACCAAATTCCACACACGCACGCCTTCTGTCTATCGACGGTTCAGCGGTTGGCGACCAAATGCCTCTCCACGTCGCGCCTTTGATATCTCTCCCCCTCCCCCTCCCCCCGCCCAGCAACAAGCCTCTGGCGGTGGAGCAGATCGCCGTGCTATCGGAGCCGAGCTATCGGACCCGCCGGCTATACGAGGGCGGCCTGAAAACGCCCTGATGCCGACCGATAAAAATAGACTCGGCGGAGATCAGAACCGTTGGAAGTTGCGACGCTACCTGTCGACAGGATGGCTCAATTACGCCGGGTTAAGCCGTTCCAAGGTCAGAGGACGGCACAGATGATGCTGGATAATGAGGTCACGGTTGTCAGTCTTCTGTCTCAATTTCAAAGTGGAAGCATTTCAACGGTATCGACGCGCTGTCTTAGATGGCGTCTACTGCGTCACTGGGTGACGGAAAGGTTACAGACTACATCAAGGAACATCTAATTTACATTTACGTGCCTGAAGGGTCAGAGAAATAACACGGACATCCGCATAGAATGCCGACCGCTAATGTTTAATGTTGAGAATACCTGAAGCCTGGGAACAATGGGGATGCCCGAAGACGAAGGATATGTGCAATGTGTACCCGGGTACTCAGGTAGCCAGAATACAAAGTACCACTTATTGCGCAGGATGAGTAAACATTTTCCGTCCCACCGGGTGCTCTAGCATTACAATTATCACTGAAACGGTGGCTGGGATGCTACCAGCAGATCATTATCACAAAGATAGTGTCACCCAATTCTCAGGACAGTGACAGCTGCCGTCGCTCGAGGTAGCCACCGGGTTCAGCGAACGTTTCATCATCGCCCGGTACACACACACCGGCCGCCAGCTGAGACGTGCCACAGGGGGTAGGCTGAGATCCGGTGGCAGTGCACAGACGGCGGATGAAGGATGATAACTTCCCCGAATGGCTGGTTCGTTGGAGATGTGGAAGGATGAGTTTCCCGAACGTCAGATTCCTGTTCGCCGAAGATGTTGTGACAGAAATAAGGACAAGGAGAAGGAGCTAAGTTCTACCCAGGCAGGACATAATACAAGGAGATGCCAGATGGAGGTGGAAGGGATGGATTCTGATCAGTTGCCGCCTGCAAAATCTGACTTTACTCGTATTTGTCCGACTGCTAATTGGCTGCTCACTGTTTTTCTTAGACGCCTCTGAGCCCGTCCATGTATTTACGGCATGCGTCATAACCTATCCATAGACAGCGTTCGGGTGCCTCCTTAGTCCTTAGAATTGATCCAACACCAAACAGCCAAACCTTGCACCCTCATCTCTCCGCTCGCCCTCCCTAGTCCCCTTTTCCCTCTCATACTCACTGGAGGAGGGCTCCCGCAGCCAGTCAAGCACCTTCCTAGCGCTGAGGTCCGAGAGACGGTGGCTGCTCCAGCTGCGCCAGCCGAACCGGTTCGGTTTGCCGGCTGTGTCCCGGTTCAGGAAGGCTGACTGTCTCTCCCGGTCACGGGTGGTGTCCTGGGTATTGTCCGGGACATTGTCCCTGTCCCGCTCACGCTCCACCACGCCCCCGCCATCCCCGCCGCCCGCACCGGCAGCTGCGGAGGTCAGCGCCGAGACCTGCAGCCGGTTGATGTCATCCACACTGTGGTGGTGCCGGCTGAGCTTCTGGTGCGGTTTGGGCGTCTCGCGCTTCCTCTCTCCCATGGTGACAGTGACGGGGCCGCGCCCCGTCACGGCTGAACCGTCACGACCCGTAACGACGGCGCTAAAATCCGCCAGTCACAAGCCGCGAGCTATGACACTAAAGCTCGCTATAATGAAAACAATTTGTCTTGCTGAAATTCGGCAGTGCCAACCACGATTACTCAGAAACGTTACGACAAAAACGACGGCTCAGGCACACCAATTATGCCAAAATGTAACAGCCGATCAAAGTTTCCGCACTGCACCTCCCACTGCCACAATTCTTCACCAGCAGATGCGGTAAAAGTCACCACTGTGCAGCCCACACCGGGCGCCGACGTGGGGCCTGACCCTGACTCACTGCTGACACGTCCTACTCGGCCGGTGAGTTGCCGCACACTGGCGGAGGCGGCGACGGCGGCGGCAGAGGCGGAGCGAAGGGGGGGGGGGCAGAGAGAGGGGAGAGGGGTGAGAGGGGTGAACTGCGAGATAGTGATGTCATAGATAAGCAACTCGCACCAGAGCATGCTTGATGTCGTGAGCACGGTATCCACTGAAGAGTGATAGAAGAGAGAAGATCCGTAGCTGAAATACGCATATATCCCGCAGGCCGTCTTAGCCTTTATTCAAGACAGTCATTATTCAGCCCAAATACAGCCCACATTCATTCCAGATCCGGGGCACCTCACATCCACTTGAAAAGGGCATCCACTTCCATGGGGGCAGGAGGAATGTGTCCTAGGTCATTCGGCACGAGCCTAAGCCATTTGACCTGGAGGGGTCAACAAAGGTCACTGTCCCAAAATTCGCTCAGCAGATTGGGGCCCACTCAGGGGAGCTAGATCGTTGAAATTGACACTAAACGACTCGCCATGGCCTGAAACCACATTCCCACTCCCAATGTTAAAACCAAAGGTCACGCGATGACCTAAGGCCATTTACAGGCAAATAAGGAAAAACACTAGCACAGCAGTTTTCGTGGCCGTGTGAAAGAAAAAAAATAGTGGGAAAGCAGCCGCAAGTCATGACGAGCCCTTTGGTGCCCTTTAGTGTTCTATATGTAGCTCTACTGGGTAAGCCGCAATCTGCCGTGCCAATTTGGAGGCCGTGCCCCTTTTGAGCCGCTCTAGGTCAAGTCAAACGGCTATGATGTCACCAAAAAGTTTGGACCACGTATTTTTTCCCCAACTGTTGTGCGGGAGATTCACAAGTCGATCCGAGTTATCACGAATGTGGACCATATCTGGGCTGAGAGGCGATTACAAGTGCGTCAACTTTTCAACATTTCACATGCTGCCCAGGCCAGACGAGGTCACACATTCGCTAGCTGTTTTCAGGGAAAATTAACCCTCGCCCTGGCAGGCGGGGGTCGATGCGACCCCCCTAAGGTTTTTCGAAGATAGCGTAAAAACGGCGGCGCGCAGCGCCGCCAAATTTGGCACAGCCTATGGGGCAACCTTTTTACATATGACCTGAAAATTTCAGGTCCGGGTGACCTTGGGTCAGGTCACCAGGTCAGAAAAACCGGTACAAGGTCATGGTCAAATTTCAATTTTCTTTTTGCACCTGTCCAACTCACAGTTTTCGACTGATTTCCTTCAAACTTTCAGGATGTGCTAAGTTCACCGAGTTGTATAACATATAGTCCGGCTTTTTTGAGGTCACTGACCTGAGGTCAGTTAGAGGTCATTACGTCGTAATGTTAAGCCTATGGGAAAATACTAAATTCGGAAAATACTGGAGATATCCGCTTCGTTCTATCACTTTTGTGCTTTGAAACCACGGTACTTAACAGCGGGTCACTTGGTGCTTCTTTGTTTGGTGTACTTATCCATGGGTCAGGTCAAATGAGGTCAACTGAGGTCAAATGACGTTTTTGCCAATAACTTGGCACATAATAACGCTAGAGCTTAAAAAATGGTACCATTGTGTTCCTGGTGATCTGCCGAATCGAATGATATGCGACATGATGCAATTTGGTTAACTTGAACTTATTTTTTTAATTTAAGTTTACTTAAAATTTAAGAAAAACTTTAAGTACACTTAAGCAAGCTAAAAAGTGTATCATTCGACGCGCCTTGACGTGCTGAGTTCACTGGTGCTTTTCTTTTTTCTCTATCTTAATTAGATCAAAAGTTATAAGCGAAAAACTTTTGACCTGTTTTTAGCGAAATTTTTACATTTATACCCCCCAAAACCCCCCTAAATATTGACCTAGAGCAACCAAATTTGCACAGGGGCGAGAACTCTAGGGGGCCCACCTACCTACCAAATTTGGTGTTTCTAGGTGCCATAGGAGCCAATCGCGAGGGGGGTCGTATCGACCCCCCCCCCCCCCTGCCAGGCCGTGTTATGAAAAATGCCCTGCCAGGGCGAGGGTTAAGTTACTACGCCGTATGAGCCTATCGAAATGGCATGCTTTAATTAACCATTTGCCCTAATCGTATACGTAATCTAAAAAAAACGTGCAAGTGTTTTCTGTTTAACGGACACGTGCAACCTAGGTTGTCGCTTGACCTTTAGAGGTGAAATTTATAATGGGAAAACAGCATCAGGTGACGTTCAGGTGACGTTTTTTCGTTGTATAATTATTATCTTTTTGGTAGTTCACCATTGTATTTTAGAACGGAGCCCATAGCGACTGAGGGGCCCGGATGTGGGATATCGTTTCTGTGAAAGGTGCTGTCGCGCGGTTTAAGGTGCCCTTAAAAGACGATTGCATGAGGGCAATTGGATATTAGGATAGGGCGTAGAGTAGACCGACAAGTGACACCGACAGTGATCCGCGGAGGCGAGACCGTTGCGGTGGGACCAGATTGCTCCGTTGGGACTTGGGACAGTCCGTCTCCCCCCCCCCCAAAAAAAGTCGCCCCGGAGAGAATTTACAGGTCCTACCATCCAAGTGGGAAACCGACCTCATCCACCGCGGTTGTCACGTGGGTGACCGCCAGCCCGGAAGGGAGCGTGAGGGGGATGCGGATGGGTTAGCCTTTCGAATGGCAAGGGCGGATAAGCTGACGAATGAGGTCAAGACTAAGAGGGAAATATGACGAGAATCGAGCAGCGGTTGGAACTTAGGTAGGTATACGCAACTGAAAGAAAAGTTTGCCAGGTCCGTCCATTGCTGTGTCGTCAATAGGTATGCTACTGTTATAAGTATTTTGCGATGGTTATAGACATATTGCTGCTGGGATCAACAAGCACTACTGTTGATTGCATAATCCTGCCGACAGGCAATTTGCCAGCAGCTGAAAGCTCAGGTTTATCGCTCGCCAGTCCTATCAGGCTACACTAGCGCCCTTGGGTGCACTGTGGCTATAACGGTAATCTCAGCTTATACGCTTCTCCACCAGAGCGCACCAGCCAACCGAACCGATCCGACCACGGCCGGCACGCCCGGGGATCGAGGCTTAGAGGCACTGCAACGACGATACTTAGAGCTATTTGCATCCCACATCGTATCTACTAGAGGTGGCAAAATGTGGACCCGAGGACCCGGTCCAAAGAACCAGTCTGGACCCATACGGGTCCAGACCGGTTCCTGGAAATTTTCGGACGGGTCCAACCGGGTCCTACCATAAACTGTACATCTTGCACGCTACACATTATTGCAAAATATGAAGTGAATGAAGCGAATGTTTCTTGGTACACAGTAGCTCATGAGTATTCCCAGTGAGAAATAGGCTGTTTTACATGATGCAACTAATGATACCTACAAGTAGTTCGTATTAATTGACTTTGGGGAACCGGGTCCAACTGGTTCCGATTCCAACTAAGGCCGGGTCCGACTGGTTCCAGAAATGTCCAGCCGGGTCTGGTTCGAGTCTGGTTCCCAAAATTTTCATCTTTTGCCACCTCTAGTATCTACCGGACTATAGTCCGTTTTTCTTAAGTTTGCCCCTCACTGTAAACGTCTCTTTGAACACAGCACGAGAATTGCAAGCTGAATTACTGAGAAAACTGGTAAGCGCACATTGTATTGTAGATATGAATAATATTTTCAAAAATAAGTTTTGAACATCGACGAATTAACGTTATGTTAAGCGCCCTGCAATTTATTTATTAGTTCAGACATAATTCCTGAGAAGTCGTCTATCCCTGTGAGGCTGTAGGTATTGGCAGATACGATTTACGAGTCTGTGAAATAGTAAATAAATTTGATGAAATTGATCGTCTGTGAAATCTGGTTAAATCAGTGTGCGCCAACCAGTTTTCTCAGTAATTCAGCTAGCAATTCTCGTGCTTTGTTCAAAAAGACGTTTACAGTAAGGGTCAAACTTAAAAAAAACGAACTATAGTCACATTCATTGTCCGGAAGATAAACCCTTCCCCGTTTAGGCACTCGCCCTTTTGTTCGTCTAGTGACCCTCTATCTTGCCCGCCTGTGGACCATCTTCGTCACTCGTCTGGACCAATGATATGGTCTTATCTGTCACAATCCTTGCATATTGAGATCTAAAAATGCTTCCTTCCTACATTTTATTCGTCCTCGCCGACCGCCGTTCTTATGACAAGCCCATCTGCATTCTGAATCCCTCTCTCAGGCGCGGGCCTCGCTTCCCGGGCTGGCGGTCACCCCACCGGTCATGGTCCACACCAGAACCACTTCACGCTCTCCCGAGTGACCGTTTGAGCGGCAGGACGAGCTGTCCCATCGAGACAATACCGTCCCAACATCACGGTCTCTGACTCTGCTGTTGCGAACCATCGTCGGTGGTACGCACAATGCAATGACTTCGCCCTATCCCATCATCCCATAGCTCAGCAATGGTCTTTTCAGGTCGAAAGAGATTGTTCTCAACAAAACAAAAAGCGAGACTTCCATGAAGAGCTAGGCCCCATTCTCTAGGTCCCACTTCCGGTCCCAGAGGCCAGGGCTACACTTTGCTGTCCAGTATCTTACTTTCGACCGTGAGATCCCTCATGAGTGCCAGCCTGATGGTGGTGGTGGTGGTGGTGGTGGGGGCATGGGAGCAGCCGGTTAATGTGGGGGGGAGGGGCAATGGAATAGTCGCGCGTTTATTTCTCGCCATGCACTGATATGAGACATTTTATCGGGCATTTACTGGAGTCCTGGGCCTTACAGAGGGATGTGACCCTTATATATCTCTCGGTCATGCAGTGCCAATCTCCCTAGACCTTCCCTTCTTTCCCCCATTTCCACAAAAACCGCCTTCCCAATCACAGGTCAGAAGCACAGCAAGAGTAAGCGAGTTCTCTGTCGTCATCCGACCAGGAAAATCAACTGCAAAGAACACAAAACTAGCCGACAATGACAATAGTGTATGACTGTAGATGATCTTAATGCGGATGGGATTCCAGCCTCCATATGCACCAAGTAAGATCTGATGACCAATTAACAAAGCAGAAGTGCTGGCGATAGCACTGGTGAAGCTAATCCCATGCTGCTGAAAAA